GGGACTGAAATGGGGTCCAAAGCACTAATAGCATTTTCCTAACTTTAATTACTTTAGCAAACATTACAAAAGATTCTACTAAATTTATAAGGTAGGTAATTACAGTAGATTCAGATGTCTTAGTTAATTAATTCATTTGTTCTATCAATCCCATAAACTTAAAAAAAAATCATCACTGAATTCAGATGTATTCAAACAAATTGCAAAGACTCCAAAATGCTTTTCAGGTTTCAACCGCAAATCAATTTTGCTGTAGTAGTATGTAAGTGCAAATTTCAAATTTTGGTTATCTTTTTAAATTTCTCGGTTAATGTAAACCTTGTACCTATGAATCATAACTTTGATAAGAAATTATAACCCTAAGAAGAGGCCGCCTTACTGATTACATCAACTACCAGGCAAACTAAAAATAACCTGCTGAGATATAAAAATATAAATTTTATCTCTTTGAAGGTGCTAGGTGCATGGTAAAATGATATTTGCAAGTCTTTAATGCCACAGTGAGTGCAGACCATTAATGCCACAGTTACCTGTACTGTGGTGAAGCTATATCTGCAGGCCTACAATGCCACAGTGACCTGTACTATGGTGAGGAAATATCTGCAGGCCTTTAATGCCACAGTGACCTGTACTGTGGTGAAGCGATATATGCAGGCCTTTAATGCATAGTGACCTGTACAGTTCATAGCAATTTCTGCAGGCTTTAATGCCAACAGTGACCCTTACTGTGGAGCGATATCTGCAGGGCTCTAATGCCACAGAGACCTGTACTGTGGTAAAGCAATTTTTGCAGGCCTTTAATGCCACAGTGATCTGTACTGTGGTGAAGCGATATATGCAGGCCTTTAATGCATAGTGACCTGTACTGTTGCATAGCAATTTCTGCAGGGCTTTAATGCCACAGTGACCTGTACTGTGGAGCGATATCTGCAGGGCTTTAATGCCACAGTGACCTGTACTGTGGTGTAGCGATTGCTGCAGGCCTCAATTCAGCCTGTTCAGGAGCAAGGTTGCCTGTTGTATGTGTTCTTTTACTAAATTCTATACTCATTTTGAGCAATTTCATCCTGAAATCCTTTAAATTCATAATGAACAGTTCCTAAATCAAAGCAGGTCAAGTCAAGAATTATGCAAATTCAGTAAAAACATTACTACCTGGATCAATCTAAGAACACATACAGGGGAAATTCACACATGAATCTGATAAAAAAAAATTATCATGGAAGGATCATGATCATAAAAAATCATGAGAATCAAGATAAAATATTTCCCTGATGTATCATCTAAATTGGTAACAGGAGAAACCAGGATAGCAATCTATGTGTGTATTGTGCCAAATGTGATATTAAATGAATTTTAATTCCATATCGGACAAGAAATCTCCTTTTGATTTCACACTGAAAATAGCCGACTAAGATAGAGACAAAAATAGCCCACCAAGATTGAGGCAGAAAATGTTTTCTGTCTTTTTTTCTTTTCTTTTTTTATTCTTTTTTTTTTTTTTTTTTTTTTTTTTGGGGGGGGGGGGGGGGGGGGGGGGGCTAGAAAGTGAAATTATTCTATGAATTCTTATCTGTGAAAATCACTTATCTAAATGGCCTGGACCAGATGGATTTATATCAAAATACAGTTAAACCTATCTAAAAACCATCAGCGTAGACAAAGGCAAAAATGTGGTCTTTATTGACAGGTGATTTTTTTTAGAAAAGGTCATTCAATTTGTATTTCATCAACATGGAAATGAAAATGACCTCGCTCACTGGTCAAGTATTAAGTTGCGAACTTGAAAATAGCTATTCTTTGCAATCTTGAACAAATTTGATTAAACTTTTTTTTGGTTTTTAGTGTGCACGAACACAATTTAGGTTATATGGCACAGAAACAGGAAAGATGACCTTGGACAAATGTTTTAAACTAACTGATGAAAGTAAGGCTTGCAAAATAATTTTGGGGCTTTGTACCTTACAAGTACACTTTCTGTGCAACCTGTTCTACACAAAGCCAATTTGATGCCCTTTTCCAGATAACTGCCAGAAATTTATGGCAGAAAATTAGTTATCTAAATTGTTTTGATAAATTAATTAGTTCTATATTTTATTTTTGGCTCAAACAAACTCTCTGCCATTATTTATTTCATAATATGAAAAATGAAGTCTGGAGCCTTTCAATTATAAAACGAACTGGAAGAAAATTAATACTGTTAGAATTGGCATTTTGATAACTTGTAAGTTAAAATGATCATAGTAAACAATTAGGTATAGCTTCATTTTATCCACAACATTAGCAGCCACCTGTTCGTGCAGACAGAGTCCTATTCTTAATGTTGTGACTTCTCCACCTGAAATAAAACTCTGTTTTTAAATACTCCACTAGATGTCTAGAGTCCAGAAAAAAAAACAGACGACTTTATTAAAGGCCCATTATGCTTTCTTTTTCATTTCTCAAAATCTTTTTATTTTTGGTATTCTTTTATAGTTTCTAACAAGACTTATAGTTATTAATTGTCAAATTACCTGAACTGTCTTCTTCTCCTTCTTCAGGTGCTTTTTGGCAATTAGTACATTCATAGTGATTTAGTATTCTGTATGGAAGTCAAAATACTGTTTTGTTTACATTTTGTTGCTTTTATAACATTTTATTTTACATTTAGTGATATTTCATTCAGGTAACAAACATCTCACATGCTCTAAAACCATTATTTCTAAATGTTATAAAACTCATTTTTGATCTTTCCAAAGAAGTAAATATTTGTTCATTTCTAAGGCATAATGTGTCTGTAAAGCAAGTTTTATCTGTTTGGATTTGTCTATTGTAAGTTTCAGGGATTTCATTGTGAAAATGCTAAAATTATGCAGACAACAATATTGTTTTCTTTGTTTATTTTTCTCTTTTTTTTACCCTGATTTTAACTATTACATGTACTTGGTCATATCTTGGCAGTCCACCTTTCTGGCTGGCTATAACCAGTAATTACTAATTTCTCTGCAAGTGACCAACTATTAATCCCACATGATGTCTGAATCAGCAGTGAGAGACAAATGACCATTCAAGTCCCATAGGATCTAGACTATGCAATGCTATGCTATATTAGTATAGGCTCCTTAAATTTTATCAGAAAAACAATCAGTATCTTTATCATCGTTTTTCATACTGTACATAAATATACTTTCTATCAAATGAGAATAGAAAAAATATCAAAGGGAGATAAATGGTAAAACTAATTCAGATAAAGCTTTTATAGAAGAATGATGACTATAAAGACTAGTTCGAGACAGTTTGAGTAAAAACAAGAAAATTTTATGTCAATTATCTATCTCACTCAGTGTCCCTTAATTGTTCAACTTAAGATGTACAGTTAATAAAAAAAATATCTTTGTTTGATTGATTTTCAACTCTAAGATATGATATGCCCAAATACTCACAAGATACCAAATAATTATAGTGTTAAATTATGCTTTTCTGAATGAAGATTTTAATTCATCTATTGGTAAAATATTATTACTAATTTACATAATAATGGCGTAACAATATATTTCTTGATTTTTTTTTAACTTATGGTAGCTGTCTCAGTTCATTTTTCCGAAATTGCTAAAAAACACCTTCAAACATTTGGGAAAAGAAACTAATCATGATTTCTATTAATTTCGTCTTAACTACAATTATTCAAATTTAAATATTGCATTGTTTTTACCTCTGTCTGCTTAATTTTCTAACTGTAATGACGCCACCCCATCTAAATCAAATTAAACGTGTAGCACTTCTGCAGTTTTTGTGAGCAAATGTCGAAGATCAATCAAAGGTAAGTAACTCGTACACGTAGCATTAATTCAGGGATTCAGTGGTCCAAGGTAAGTAACTCGTACATGTAGCATTAATTCAGCGGAAAGTTATGATATTATACCCGAATTTTGATGGAGAAGAAACAGAAGAACAAAAGATCTATACTGTACTGTAAATCAATAAATAAATGTAAATGATTTAGAAATTATAAATATGTGTAAATTATTTCTATGCAGTAAATTAATACTATTTTATTCTTTTTAGAAACAATATGCAGTACAGTTATGATAAAATAAAGATTTTAATATTGCATAAATTAGTATTTTTTCTTACTATAACAAAAATGATTATGATACAAATAACAAAGAAATATTATACAACAGAAAATTCATAATGGCATATTTAACAGAAAGCAATAATCACAATGTCTACATTATTAGCAGTTCACAATTACAATTAAAATAAATATATACATAACAGGTTTAATATGTAGAAGAGGTCTTCAAATATGTGATAGTAGAATGTAAATTATGTATCTTATTATGTTTAATATATTATTATCTATTGTCATTTCTATAAAGGAATAATCATCAAATATCATAAAGCGATATTTTTTACTATGAAAGCAGTGAGAGTTGTGGTCAGTTACCAAGAATTGCTATAGCTATCCCATAACCAAATCAGCTAAAAATAACTTTGAAACAAAATCAATCATCCATAACTGAACTTGCAGAACAAGTTCAATCAACCGTAACAAAGGACAATAGAAAAAAATGAACAATGAACACCACAATAGGAATTACCGTAAACATTCTAAAAACGAGAACTTGTATTATTTTAAACATTATCTACACTTACACAATGTTACCACATATACTACTAGAAATATGATATGTTTATTAGAAATTATCAGGTTTCCTAATGGTAGCTAGTAAACTTATAAACATACAATTTAATTCAAATATGAATAGACATATACTGTATGTAACGTTCGTGTAGATCTATAGATCTATGTCAAAAGGGTCCGAGTGTCTTAAGTTCAAATCCCAACAATTAAGGATTCCTCATTCTATTATACCATGAAAAATTAAAATAAAATGAAAAGGTCACTTGTGATTGTGGGGTAATTGGTTTCTCAAGAGTATAAAAAAGGCTATGTAAAAAAACGCAAGACATTCCAACTGAGACTTGTCGCGTATAAAGGGCACCTTTCGCAATTATATTATAACAAGCGTTTGTTGATCAATCACTGTCGCTGAAGCGCTTGTCGCCGCATGAATAAGGGAAAAATGGCGAATCAAGTGAGAACAATTTACTTTCAAATGATAAAATACCCCTTAAGACCACGTTTTAGAACAACAATTGTTCTTTTATTTATAACATGTATAATTTACCTTGCTTCTTGTAATATATTTAAGCTTTTTTGTTACTAAAAATGCCTTATTTTAATTATATTTCTGTAGCGTTCTTCATATTTTTTCAGTGTTTTTCATATTTTTGACAGAAAAATACATTTTTTGTCCGCATTTTCCATGTTTTCTTGGCTTAAAGTCATGCCTCCGAACAAAAGATATTAAAATTTCCTCAAAGCATGATTTTACTTGAAAATGTGAAGTTTACTGTTAAACAGTTATAGGCTATATCCTGGAATAGACCCTGGGTTCTAAACCAGGAGTATATATAAGGTTCATTCCGTTTTCTTCAGTGTATTATATACAGGTTTTACTTCTGAAATATACATAGGGGTCTAATCCAGGAGATTGCCCAGTTATATTCCTTAACCAGGTCTAGGATTTCATGATATTTATGGACTGTCAGTAAATTTATGGATAGTCTATAAATTTAAAGATTTTTCAGTCCATAAATTTACAGATCCTCAGTGTTAAATTTGCTATTTTTAGTTTTATACTAAAATCCGCAGCTTAAAACAAGTTGTTATATAGATTGTTTCTATTAACAAAGCTAACGAGATAAGTTTCATCTTTGTATGATGACTTTGAAAATTTTGTTAAAAGTGAAAATTGAAAGTCAACAAATTGTTCTGAATCTTATCATACTGTTACATTTAATCATATAATCAGTAAATTTATTCTTATTAACCTGCGGTTTTTAATTTAAATACAACTTATACTATTTTCGCATTTAATGTCTATAAATTTACAGATAGAAAAATCTGTAAAATTAAAGATGGTCCATAAATTTACAGACTGTCCGTAAATATCATGAAATCCTAGACCTGTTAACATATTGAAAGAAGAAGCGTAATATTGACATAATTTGCAAATGTCAAATTATAACCCACATTTTTCTTTGTTTGATTAAAAATAAACCTCATTTACTTGAGATATTTTAACATGAAATGTTTATTTAGCTCTGATTCATCAAGTTGTAAAAAAAAACTGAAATATTTCAGCCTATTTAGGGTAAATAAAGGTGAAAATAAACCTAAAATCTTGTTGAAATACTGTATATATTGTAGCAGCATCAGGGCTCGCGCTGGCAGGAGCCAATGAGCAAATTGGCTCCAAAATAATTAAATTGGCTCAAGAAAATCACGATTGGCTCAAACTTAAGAAAAGTATGACTTTTGGAATCTCCAGTCTAAATTTAGCATTTTCGATTTTAAGAATGGAAAAGTACACATCTGGTTTTCCATCTACAACTTCCGTTTTATCACTTCTTATCTCAAAACACAGCGACACAGTCTACTTTTTGTGGATCATTGACTGGTTTATATTTGTAAATCCGTTCGGAACGAAATATTGATATGAACAGTAACACAGTCTAATACACTGTTTACATGTGACAGCTGATAAATACGACACTAATTGGTGTGAAAAATACCTGTGGCAGATTGTTGAATATGCACTGGATAATTGGTCTTAATATTCAATATGAAACATTAACTAGCGGCATCTAAAGATTATCGCTAATCAAATCAGCATTTTGGGTATGAAATGGCGACAAATTATGTTCTGCAGTTGGCAACTTGACCTGTAAATTTTATCGTTGTTGATAAACAGATCGAAGGAATTACAAGTTGATAGAGTTATTGTTGTTGATTTTTTTTTTTTTTTTTGTGGTGGTTGGAGGGTGTTATTGCCAATAAAATCCAGGGCCAAACACCATTTTTGAGGAAGGGGCCTTGGCCTTTTTCTTGGGGAAAATATGCGTGATTTTAGCATACCTTGGGAAAAGGGGTCTCAAATTTAACACAAAATGTTAACAAGTTCTTCAAAATAGAAAAGCAAAAAGCAGTGGGAATGTTCTTCAAAATAGGACAGCAAAAAGCAGTGGGAAATACTAATAAGGCAGTAAAAGACCTAAATTCAACACCATCATTTAATTTTGTTCTAAATTCTATGGGAAATTTCAAAAGACTGTGGGATTTTGAGGACCAAACTGGGGAAAAAGGAGGCTAGTTTGGTTGGGGAAGCTGCCTTTATTGGGCCACTACAAAGAAGGGTATTTTGGCCCTGAAATCTGACCTAATTATGGCTCCAAAAATATAAAATTGAGAAGGAATTTATTTGACATACAGAGTATTCCTGAAAAAAAAAAAGATTGACCTTATGTCACTACCTTGCCACAGACTTAGATTTTAAGGGAACCTTGCTGCCTACATGTAACTTTTGGCAAATGTTATAGTTACTGACCTCTAAGATTAAAATTATAATTACTGACTGTAAATTATACTCATATATGTAAGATTTGTTAATGTAATAAAAATGTAGCTACCAAATTAAGTTGGATAATAGTTAATGCTTTTCTAAATATCCAATGCTGTACCATTGCCTGATTTGAAAATAAAAATACAGGCAGGCAATTTTCGCCGCGAAGAATTGGCTCAAAGTAAAAAATTGCCAGTGCTAGCCCTGGCAGCATTAAATGTTTGGTTATGAAAGTGGCATTAAATTCAGTTCAGAGTTGTGAAGCTGAACTTGAGTTTGATACTTGTGAAGCGCCTTACTCTGTTATTTACCAAGAAATTTTTACAGTTGATGAAAATTTTATCAAACTTATAGAAATACTTGTATATCTCAAGACTTGTGTATGGTATTTATAAAAAATTTTTGAATTGTTTCTGTTTTGTAGAAGATGGATGTTGATGATGCCCCTCCACCAAACCATGAGGGTATAAAGCAATACTATGGTAGTAAAATCGAAACATTACAGGTATGGGATTATGGTTAAAACAGTCTTTCAAAATCTTTATTAGCTTAATAGTTACAGTTTAATGTAAGTACATCAATGAGGGCCTGTCCAAAAGGGCAGGGTTTGCTTAATGTTCATGTGTCTGCTTTTCAATCTTGGATCTTTAGATGTAAGATGAAATGCCTTTTATATGACATGTAATGAAATTCATTTCTGAACAAAATAAAGTAATATCTAATTTATTTTTAGTGGTTATAAAAATATTTATTTACTTTTTACTTAAGCTTGTTGTAACAGAGAAGACACAAAATTTAAGACGTCTTGAAGCGCAAAGAAATGAACTTAATGCCAAAGGTATGTTTGCAAAGTTGTCAGATTAAACATGACAGCAATAGTCTTACATATTCATTTAATAATATATATATCTCAATTTCATCAGAATTTTGACTATTCTGTTTAGTATTATAGTGACATTTGTAAAAGAATTAATTACTAAGTTTTAAAAGTTTCTGAGTAACAAGCATGATAATGTCAAGATATTTACCACAAATCTGATAAGAAAGTTATACCAACTGATATTGTTGTTGTGTAAAGAAAGTTTTAATATGATCAACCATACATATAGAGTCTTGTCAGATACTCTTCTGCACTGATTTGAATGCTGTCATAGATAGTACTATATTTTGTGGTGCACAGACTGTGCTTTATCCACACCTTCATTGCTGATTGTTCTGTAATGAGTTCAGGGTATTTGAGTAATGTCTAATATTGTCAAAACTTCCTGTGTATTACAGTACGCATGTTGAGAGAGGAGTTACAGTTACTACAAGAGCAAGGGTCATATGTAGGTGAGGTGGTAAAGCCAATGGATAAAAAGAAAGTACTTGTAAAGGTAAGTTAACAGTATTTAATCTATATCTACACACATCTGCATGCCTGATTGCTGATAAATGATTGTAGCAAATTATGCTTGTAGGAAAATTTGAAAACTGGTATAACATCATAATAAAAATCACAGAACCTTTATTGTAGTTTTTGTTGGTATCACAAAGTGATAAATATTTTGTTAATTTTTCAGGTACATCCAGAGGGAAAATTTGTGGTTGACTTGGACAAGAACATTGATATTAATGATGTCACTCCAAACTGCCGAGTTGCCTTGAGAAATGACAGCTATACTTTACATAAAATTCTACCTAATAAGGTCAGTTTACATGTTACATTACATAAAAGTTTAACTTATGTGGTTGTCTGATAAGTTAAATTCTCATTAGACATTTGGGAACATGTGTCTTTTGAAAAAAATGATGTGCACTTAATTTTTTTCATACAGGTATTCCCATACATTGCCATGGAAAACCGCGGTTATTTCTTTGGTTAATGTTGGCAGGAAGATAGTTTGGTGTAAGCAATTTCTGTGCACAACTTCAGCATTTTTCAAAGGATTTTAAACCAAGTTTTCATGTAATTATTGTCATCAAATGCCATGGCACATACCTTCATGAATTTGCAATTTAGTAATCTTTTCGGCAGAATTACGGCTTATCACTTTGAGGCACAAAACAGGTTTTCTGAGTAATATCTGTAGAAGATGTAAGTTAGTGTTAAGTGCTGAAAATAAATCTGATTTTCTCATTTCAGGTTGATCCGTTAGTGAGTCTCATGATGGTGGAGAAAGTACCGGACTCCACGTACGAGATGGTCGGTGGTCTTGATAAACAAATAAAAGAGATCAAAGAAGTCATAGAACTGCCAGTTAAACATCCTGAGTTGTTCGAAGCTTTAGGAATTGCACAACCTAAGGTTTGTGAACAAATTATTATGATAGTTAGACTATGAGATACATAACTACACATAATCTAAAAAAGTTAATTACTTAGTGAACAAAAAATAACTTATGTGAAATTCCTATGTTTTGAGGTATTGCAAATGATATTCTTGTTTTAAAAATGTCTCGCAAACCTACCTTGCAGCAATTCAAAAAGGTGACTTTTTCCAATGAAAAAAAAGGCAGATTCATAATGGCCGAGCTGGAGAGCCAATCAAAAATTCACCAATCTCAAAATAGCTCTGAGTTTTCTCATAAAGGCCGTACTTTTTGCATAATAGCCTTGTTTTATGTTCATAATGTCTTGATGAACTTCATATTAGCCTTACATTTGAAGTGAAAACGTGCCTAATATTAAAAAAATAATTAATAATGGTTATTACAACTTGATGCTTCAGTGGACAGGGTTAGAAATAAAATAAACACATTTGAATTAAGCAGCCAGTTAGCAACTTTGTAGATTGGCACTACCTTAAGCAAAGTATACCCCCCCCCCCCCCCAGGCGTGCACAAAGGAGATTAATTAAACTTTCTGATGCAGCTATAGTAACACCATAATGGCAGCCAGTAGAACTTGTATGCCACATTTTTTTCATGAAATAAATATTCAAAGTATGAAATAATTTATCAAGGAAGGTTCTATTTATTTGACACCTTAAAGCAATTTGTATGGATTATATATTTGACAAGAGATGATTGCTTTGTATAGGTAAATTACAACTACTGACTTATAGTATTATACAAGATTATGTTAAAAAATACCATATTATTTAACAGATTAACAATGGTAAAGACATATCTTTGGGCTAAGGAATTTTTATGATGATCATTAACTTTGTTTTGTAGGGTGTATTATTATATGGTCCACCAGGCACGGGTAAAACTTTGTTAGCACGTGCAGTGGCTCATCATACAGAATGTACGTTTATTCGAGTATCTGGATCAGAGTTGGTACAGAAATTTATCGGGGAGGGATCAAGAATGGTTAGAGAGTTGTTCGTGATGGCAAGGTATGTAATTTCCTAATTAATTTTCCGACCTTAAAATTTCAAAATGTCCACTGTTAAATGAATAATTTGTTTACAAAAGAGGTCAATTTATTGTTCTTGAGGCCTTCATGTTACTTTAAGGTCCAAACATATGCTTTTGACTGTAAATTCTTTCATTTGAAAGATGTCATAAAGCTGGCTTTTAAAAGGAGTTTAGTTGCTCTATATTGGTGCCTAGGAATGCCTGAAATAATATGTGAATTTTGTGGTTTCTCTTGTTTTGAACACAAGAGAATATTATGTTATGCAAACTATACTAGTGTTATTAAAATAACAAAATTTTGGTTACTTTCCTGTTACTATAACTTAACATGTCATATATATTATATAGTTTGGGTGTACAGTATGTTACATGAACATATTTTTTTTCTCACTTTTCAGAGAGCATGCACCATCTATTATATTCATGGATGAGATAGATTCTATAGGTTCTTCTAGATTAGAGAGTGGATCTGGTGGTAAATATGATTTCTATGATAAAACTACATTTTATTTTCATTTTATATCGTTTACAGCAATATTGATTTTAGAGAGATAACTGTTATAGAGATAACTGTTATAATGGGCATTTGCCGCCTTATGAGTAATTTTTCTGAATTTGATCGTGTAAGTTTGTAATATCATGAAAAAAAATGTCAATTAACAAAATAGTTAAAGAGCAATTAGCCAAAAAGGAGTAAGCCTTGTTTCACTTACACTGTGGGGGAAAAAAATTATCTTTTTTTTAGGAAATTGTTTTTTATGTGATGAAAATGTTTTAGAAATTTAATGGCTCATTTCTTGATGTGGTATTCAGTCATCATGAAAAATACAAAGCATAAATTTTGAAACCGAAATTTAAGTGGATCGAGATACTGCCGAGATATTAAAAAAGAAAATTGTTAAAATCTATATAAAACCCAGACAATCAAACATGCAGACATTGATATCTTTAGATATTTAACATGATTGTACTTTTGACAGACCTTATTTATCATTTGTATTTTTATTAAACAGGTGACAGTGAGGTGCAGAGAACTATGTTAGAACTTCTCAATCAGTTAGACGGATTTGAACCAAAACAAAATATAAAGGTAATTTTTCCATTGTAATTTTAACGCAAAATTGTTTCTAAAGATTTTAAAGGATGGAGAATTTGTCCTTAATGCTTCATAAATTAACAAATGGCATAATTATCTTAAAGGAGCCTTGGTAAGGTCCAAAAGCCCAAAAAGATAAAATTTAAGATCCGAAATTTGTCCTTAATGCTTTAATAATTTAATATTGACATTTTCAACTAGACTGAAAGATTACTATAGAATGTAGGCATATGGGTTCTCATCTTTTGTCAGTATTTTCTGGTATTACAAAATGGCATGTCTTATCAAGAATCCTCAGTGAGGTCCGAAAGCCTGAAAACATAAAATTTGGAAATCTTACATAGATCAACTGCGGTACTTTAAAACTGTTAAATACAAGAACAGATAATAATGAAATATACTCAGTATTTAATTGAAAGAATGTTATTCGATGAAATTCATAGCCAATTTTGAGTTTCATTTAAAGGTCTTTGGCCAATAAAAATGATAATTCTGGAAATAACAGATTGAGCAAAAAAATCTGAAATTTTGTACATAAGTAATGGTATAGACTTTTATCAAATGGTATAAAAAAATACTTCTAGTCATGTCAAGAAACCTCAATGGAGTACCTTTAAAGTAACAAAAATAAATGTAACTGTTATTTTATATTATAGGTGATAATGGCAACAAATAGAATAGATATTTTGGATTCTGCATTATTGCGACCAGGTAGAATTGACAGAAAAATTGAATTCCCTCCACCGAATGAAGAGGTAAGCAAACATACAAGATGTAGTGAAAAGTTTTGTATAAATTTTTAAGAACAGTCTCAGTCTTATTTTAATGGTCATATTTTCATAGATCCATTTCAAAGAAGGAAGGTTCATATTTATCTTGCAATTGAATTTTTTTGCACATATTTTATCTGCATGATTTGTAAAAGTTTATGAAATAAGCTTCCATTGTCTAGCCTTAATAGATTTTCAACAGAATTCTTTTTACTTTGTATAGGTTAGTGTTTATAAATCAGCATTTGTCACAAATGGCACAGTTGTTCGACCTATTTAATTTGGTAAATGCTTACTAATGAACATTGACCAATTTAGTGTTTGAAATAATGTTTATAAAAAGGCAATTTCCTAGACTGATTAATAGTTTGCCGACTTACCCAAGTCAATGTGTTACGATTCATCTGAAATACTGCAATCAGCAGCAATGCTATTGGACAAAAAATAATTTCAAAAACAAATTAGTATGAACGTCATACATAACAACAATTTAACATTAAATGGTCAGCTAACCAAACTTTTAATATTACAGACTTGAGGGACATGTAATAAAGAGTTTTGTAATCTTTAATGAATGTATTTTCAGGCTCGTTTGGATATTCTTAAGATTCATTCAAGAAAGATGAACTTAACTAGAGGTATAAATCTCCGTAAGATAGCTGAAATGATGCCGGGAGCTTCCGGGGCAGAGGTCAAGGTTAGTATTGCTGATCTTTTGTGAAAGATTCTTCTTTTGATGGTAAAATGAACAAAGACCCCAATTGTATCTGTACATACCTGGGTAAAAAACAAAAACTTGGTTGAGTTGAAAGTTTTAAATGTAATGATTAAAAATGTTATGATTATATTGCCACCATTAAAATAATTAAGTTAATATATCTTTATCCATTCAGTTTACTTTTGAAGGATGTTTTAAATGGTTAACCATTGTGAACTGGTAATTCTTTATGGGTATCCATTTTGCTTTCTGAAGGATAGCCATATAGTTTACCATTAAAATCTACATTATGTAGCCGTTTAGTTACTTTTTGTTTAAGTCCATGGTGTTACCTTACTGCTGCCATAACATTTGCTTGGAAAACTTATGAAGGGGCAAATTTTGTAATAAAAAACAAACAAAAACACCATGAAAACTTAAATCATGTTGATGTTAAACTGTATCGAGGGTTTGGTACGAAATAGCTATAACTCGTATTACACAATGAAGAAGTTATGTCCGTTTTTGCATCGATCAATCAAATTGTATAGGTAATGAATGCAAATGTCAGTGAACATCTAACATGGACTAATGTAGCTTTGGAATTTGACATTCTTTGCCCTGTCCTGTCTCGTTATTGGATAAAGTTGATGATATATTATTATATAAATGTGTATTTCAGGGAGTGTGTACTGAGGCGGGTATGTATGCATTGAGAGAAAGGCGTGTACATGTCACTCAGGAGGACTTTGAACTTGCTGTTGCTAAGGTAACACTTTTTATATAATTTTTAGTTTCTACTTTATTTGATTCTATGTGGTAAACTAAGTATTTAGTCCGAAGTATGGAGTGGAACAAAAATGGCACAAACCGCTCAAGTGAGGAATTAGAATCATTGAAGAATTGAAACCAAAGCTGAGTTGTGGCCAAGTGGGTTTGACCCTTGCATCATTAGAAATTACTCATCGACAATTGATCCCCATCATTGAGGTTAATGCCATAATTGTTATTTGTTTCTCACTGCTGATTCAAAAATCATGTAGGATTAGTACACATTCATTTAGTAATTACTGGTTAGTTATTTAGGAAAGCCAGTTATGTGGACCCATCAACGAGATAGGACCCCTTTCTTCCTCGGCCCCTTAACAAAATGTAAAGATTGCCTTAAAAACTGAAACAACATGGTTATTGTATTAGTGCTTTCAGGCCAATGGCCCCCTTGTTTTACTTTAAAGATTTACTTACATTTATTATTGTTATTACAGATTATGTTGAAGGATTCAGAGAAGAATTTCTCAATCAAGAAACAATGGAAGTAGACCTTTAGTTCTGTGATCATCATTAACTTTCATTCTCCATGTAGTTCCAACAGCAACGATTTTCTCAAAAGATTTGTTTCGCTTTATTGTCCAGTTACTTTAGCCCGAATAGGCTTGGACACTAAAGGATAAGGAATCTAAATTTGGATTTATATAGTGCTGCATTTTGGAAAGATTTATGAACTCTGCATGACTTACATTGATATTGAATATAAAATCAAGCATTCAATATTTTTTATATTAAATGATGCACATATTTCTTGGATATGATGGCTGTAAGAAAATCGAGTAGCCAGTTTCGAAGTAAAGCCAATTTTCATTTTTTAAAGAAAATTGATAGAAAAATATTTGATATTGCTAATTATATCAGAAGAGGTTTTGTCTTAAGGTAATATATACTTTATGATTGCACTTGAATAGATCAGCTTACAGAACCTTGAAAGTACTTTGCACATGCCTGCTTATGCCTGAAATAATGCACAAAGGGGCGTCCAAGGTCTTCCTCCATTAGTAAAGCAAGAGAAAGTCGCCAAATGACCTTCTCTTTGTTGGTGTGACTTTTGACCCAACCAACAATAAAAAGAGAGAAGAATTATGAGAGTATTTAAAACTAGAGTATTTCTTGTGTTCAGTAAGCATGACAGAGGTGTTGAACACATATCCTACTTGGATTGCCTGTTTATATATTTTTTTTAAGTGAATTGGTCCATAATGGAAGGTTTATATTATAATACCATAAATAGTTAGGTTGATAGTATTAAGTATGATAACAACCATGAAAAAATTATTTAAGAATGTTGTTGGAAAATCTGAGATACATGATGGGATATTACGTATTTATTTAAAGCAGATCATAAAGTGTTCCAGAAGTAAATAATACTCTTCATGATGTAAATGCCAAATACTATATCACATAGAATATTTATCTAAAAAAAATTTCCAAAAAATATTTTGTTAAAATATCCAAATAGTACATTTCTATTGTTTCAATCATTATGAAAACACTGTAATGGAAAATGTGCCCATAGACCAATCCACTTTAATGAATTTCACATTCGATTTTGTGGTATCCAAAAAAGTATAACTTGAAAAGCAATCAATTCCAGAGAAAATTTTAATAGAAACAAGAAAGTGAAGCAAACTGGAGAAAGGGATCTTTTCTCCACATAAATAAAATGAATATTTGAATGAATTATGGCATTCTTGGCAATTGTATAATGAAGAAAATAGGAATTATTGTATATATTTTGGTTGAGAAGTATATTGCCTACAGGTGGTTATTCAGTAAGGTGAAAAAAAAATAAAGTGCTAAGTTAGTCAGTTCATAATCTTTCAATGTTTTCATTTCTTTTCATTCATATTTTGATGTATAATTTATCAAAAATATTAAATAAAATAAAAATTGGAAAAAAATCTGGTTTGTTAAATATAAATGAATTATATAGTTAGAAAATAATCCATAAATGTTGAAATTATTATGAGCCAGACAACTGTCTGTGTCTGTAACTCAGCTGGATATAATTTGAGAAAGATCAGTGGTTAAACCTTTGATCCCTTCCTTGCCTAAAAACTACTACCCAGGATCCCAACAATGCCTGAAAACTACTAAGTACCCAGAATCCTGACCATGCCTGAAAACTACGACCAAGGATTTTTATTTTGCCTGAAAACTACTACCCAGGATCTCACCAAGGATTTTTACCTTGCCTGAAAATATTCAAAACTACTATCCAGGATCTCAACCATGCCTGAAAACTACTACCCAGGATCTCAACCAGGCTTGAAAACTACTATGCAGGATCTCAACCATGCCTGAAAGGTACTACCCAGGATCTCAACCAGGCCTGAAAACTACTATCCAGGATCTCAACCAGGCCTGAAAACTACTACCCAGGATCTCAACCATACCTGAAAACCACTTTCAAGGATCTTGACCATGCCTGAAAAAACTACTACCCAGAATCATGACTGAAAACTACTACCAAAGATCTTGACCAGGCCTGAAAACTTTTACCCAAGATCTTGACCATTCCTGAAAACTTCTACCCATTATCTTGACCATTCCTGAAAACTACTACCCAGGATATCAACCAAGGATCTTTACCTTGCCTGAAAACTACTACCAATGATCCAAAGAGTGCAGAGACTGAAATTTTAGTTTCTAGGCCTGTAATAATTATTGTGTCCCCTTAAATGTAATGAGGTCAACATATTCCCTTCAGTAAGAATATATAACTATATAGTATTAGTTATAATATATTCCCTTAAGCTAGAAGGGGAAAGTCATTTTGAAACACAGTCATTTTTCTTTATAGCTTTTAATCATTTACTGACAATGCATCGTATACATGAATCACAAGACATAAAGTGCGAGTTTATAGACAATAAACTATACTTTTGCTACAAAATCATTTCTTTGAAACATAAAATTTTCTATGATAGGGTCTGGAGATAATAAAACCTTTTTCTGAGATCGGTCTGATATCTCTGGATTTTCATTCATCAATATACATTCTATGCTGGTTTTTACCAATCAAATGCCTGAGATCTGACTTAAGGCATAAGTAAATTTTTTATAAACTTGGACCCAGCTGCTGGGGTCATTTTCTGAACTTTGAAGATAATCATCAGTTACAATAGCCAAATATGATCTTCAAATTTCAAAAGAATACACAAATCTCAAGAACCCTATTACACCAAAACTTTTACATGTATTTTCAGATGATTTGACTCCAACCATTATTTTCTACAGAATTTATGTCGGAGGCTTAAATCTCCGACTACTTAGCCAATGAAACTTTTCACAATGTATTTGTGAATATAAGTCATAGGCTATAATCTTAAGCTTTTATCTCTCGGAGTTCACATCCTTTTCCTAAGGAAATTTCACAAGAAAGACGACGGGTGAATAACATTTGTTTCTTCAGAAGAAATCTGTTGCTCTTAGTCGTTTTTTCCCATCATTTAAAGGTTCCTCATTACTAAGCCGTTTCTTGGGTAACTGTAATAAATTGTCCGTCAAGAACGGTGTCGCACTTTCTCCGCGCTCACTTCCAGGGGTAGCACTTCCTGGGGTAGAACTTCCGCTGGGCGTTGACATGGATGGAGTTTTTGATTTCGGGGTAAGTTTCGGAGTCAATTTTGGGGTTTTGTACCCAGAGTGTCTATGTGAGGGAGACGGGGAGTAACTTTCTCGCAGGGCTTTGTCTGTACCCGTTCGAACACCAATACGGCTGCCTAGTAAACGTTGTGCGGCAGGGGATAATGAACTGATCCTCTCTAATGAACTCTTCCTGTTGTGGCCTTGTATAGGGCTGAAAATGTAAAAAAAAAATTCAGTTATCAACAGTACATTTGTGTGTATTCGAGTATTTTATACATTTCATCTTTAATTGCAAAGATAAGCCAACATCGTCAGTAAAAAGTCAGACTAGTAAGTAAGCTACATCTGAAAATGGATGAGAAACAACTTTGTTATAAATAATTCATTTAAAAGAAAAAGTAACATCAAGGGAAGTAACTAGACTCACATTTTAGGGCTACATGTATACAACAGTGTAATTTGTTACATACATAACAAGAGCTATCAATAGGACAGCGTGTTTGCCTATTCTCAATGATTGATGTAAAAACAAGAGCCTTGATAATGTATAATTTTCTAAGTCCAAAAAGGGTTATAATTGTGTCAAAATTCATGTTAGAGTTATGGACTTATGATAGTGACCTCCTATTATGCTATCAAAGAAATGAGTAAAGTTTCAACCCATTCCCTTCAGAGATACTAAGTTGCACACAAAAACAAAATTAAAGTGTGACTATGCCAAAAGAGCATGAAGGGGCTTCAAAAGGTACCAAATATTTTTCCGAATTAAGCAATTTTACAATGCAAAATTTCCCAAACTGGGCAAGGTTCTTTTTCCAAAAAAGGCTAGGAAAAGGCCTGTATAACAATAATATAATGAGTTATGTATCAAGTAAGGTACTGTATACATACCTCGCCAGTCTGGAAGCAAGCATTAGAGCGTTTTTCTTCTTATCTCGATGTTGTCGACTAGACTTCTCCGCTAATTCAATAGCTAACTGGTCTCTCTTTGGAACATCTGGTATCTAGAATATAAAGTATATTCAAGCTCAAATAATTTTATTGCATTAAACAAACAATATATGTTTAAAGCATATGTACAACATATCTATAGGCAGAAGATAATGGTTTTTCAAGGAGCATAAAAATACAATCCAATGTGAAACATAATAAAACTTGTTTGAAATTCTGTAAAACTACTTTCTAATTAAATTTGCATAATATTGATATTTAGAAAGATCTATCATTACTATTTTAGATTCAGACAATAATAATAATAACAAGAGGGCCATGATGGCCCTGAGGTCGCTCACCTGTATATAGGCCCCCCCACCCCCAGGCCAATTTTTACCCAAGGGCTTTTATTTGTTTATTTGAACAGACTTGGTAGACACCCATAAGAAGATGTTTCATGCTAAACATCTAAGTTCTAGCTCATTGGGTTTTTTAAAAGAAGATTTTTAAAGTTTTTACTATACACATATAGTTAAAAACAATGACACCCCTGGGGCAGGGCCAGTTTTGACCCCCAGGGCTTTTATTTGAACAAACTTTGTAGATATTTACTTAAAGATGTTTCATGCTTAATATCTAAACTCTAGCTATTTGGGTTTTTTCAAAGAAGATTTTTAAGTTTTTGCTATACACATATAAGGAAAATCAATGACCCCCCGGGCGGGGCCAGTTTTGACCCCAGGGCTTTTATTTGAACATACTTGGTAGACACCCATTGGAACATGTTTCATGCTAAATATCTTAGCTCTAGCTCTTTGAGTTCTTTAAAAGAAGATTTTTTAAGTTTTTACTATATGCATATAGGGAAAATCTATGACCCCCTGGGGCGGGGTCAATTTTGACCCCAGGGCTTTTATTTGAACAAACTTGGTAGACATTCACTAGAAGACGTTTCATGCCAAATATCTTAGTTCTAGCTCTTATGGTTCTTTAAAAGAAGATTTTTTAAGTTTTTACTATATGCATATAGGGAAAATCAATGACCCCCTGGGGCGGGGCCAATTTTGACCCTAGGGCTTTTATTTGAACAAACTTGGTAGACATTCACTAGAAGATGTTTCATGCCAAATATCTAAGCTCTAGCTCTTACGGTTCTTTAAAAGAAGAATTTTTAAGTTTTTACTATATGCACATAGGGAAAATCAATGACCCCTGGGGCGGGGCCAATTTTGACCCCAGGGTTTTTATTTGAACAAACTTGGTAGACACTCACTAGAAGATGTTTCATGCAAAATATCTTAGCTCTAGCTCTTTGGGTTCTTTAAAAGAAGATTTTTTAAGTTTTTACTATATGCATATAGGGAAAATCAATGACCCCCTGGGGCGGGGCCAATTTTGACCCTAGGGCTTTTATTTGAACAAACTTGGTAGACACTCACTAGAAGATGTTTCATGCCAAATATCTAAGCTCTAGCTCTTAGGGTTGTTTAAAAGAAGATATTTAAAGATTTTTCTTTCGGTTGCCATGGCAATCAGAGTTCTGCATGGAATTAAATTCTTTGAACATTTTTTAAAGGTGACCACCAAAGGAACATTCCTGTGAAGTTTGGATGAAATTGGCTCAGTGGTTTATGAGGAGATGTCATTTAAAGCAAAAGTTTACGGACGGACGGACGGACGACGGACGCCGGACGAAAAGCGATCACATAAGCTCACCTTGTCACTTTGTGACAGGTGAGCTAATAATACATTGAACAGTTCTATCCTCAGTTATAAATGTCTTAAAAAAATCGCCATTTGTTCTTGCCTTGACTCTGAACCAGTTCATTGCTAGTTTGATACAGAATATGGGGGTTTTCAATATTAAACTGAAACAAGAGAGTAGGGCCAGTGGCAAAATATCTTTGTTTTCACTCCCACTATCAATGCCAGTTTATATTAGGCAGGGTATGTAGGTAAACGATTCAATATGTCAACACTATACATTCCAGATTGTACCTTTACAGAGCAAAAAACAATACGATAAGATTCCATGTTAAGTTAAAAAAAAAATTTTTGTTTGGCAATAATTTTTTTTTATGCCCCCGGGCATATAGTAATTGAACCGTCCGTCCGTCCGTTCGTCTGTCCGTACGAGGTTAACCTAGAACGGCAAGTTGGATTTTTCTTAAGTTCTACCTGTACCAATGGCTTCTAAGTTTACACACTTACTAATCAATACAAAGTACATGATCTGGGCAAGTTACATAACTCTGGCTTTCATATTTACCAAGTTATGGCCCTTTTCAGCACTTAGAAAATGAATAATGGTTAACCTAAAACGGCAAGTTGGAAATATCTTAAGTTCTATCTATACAAATGGCTTTATAATTTCCACACTTACTTATCAATACAAAGTACATGATATTGCCAAGTTATATAACTGTGTCATCCATATTTCCCAGTTATTTCCCTTTTTTCACTTTGAAAATAGGGCCTTGTCTGGTTAACCTATTTCGGCAAGTTGGATTTATCTTAAATTTCTCCTAATTGCTTAATTTCTTTAATGATATCTTTCATATTTAGTAGGTGGATACCTTTGATGGTCCTCTAATTTTTTGTGGAGTAAGCGGTCTCTAGGGTCAAGGTCAAGGTCACTGGTTTAAAAAATAAATATAAACATTTTTGCTCATACAGCCTTTATATTTTAGTTGATGTTTTAGTTTACTACAAACATGGGAGGTCCTCCTTCTTTGGGTGTAGTAAGGGGTCATTTGGGTCAAGGTCAATGTTACCAATGTCAAGGTCACCAATGTTAATATTGATTTTTACATTTTTACAGGTGTATTGACCTTATTCTATCGACAGATGTTATTTATAATTGATAGAAACATAAACTCTGATGGAGTTAGTGGTCAGTTGGGTCAAGGTCACCAGTTCTAAAAATAGATTTTTACACATTTGCTCATACAGCCTTTATTAAGTGACAAATATATTTTATATTTGGTAGGAAAATAACTTGCATGGTCATCATTTGATTGGGGTAGGGATCAGTGGGTCAAGGTCACTTGTGCTAAAAATAGATTTTTACACTTTTGCCCATACAGCTTTTATTTATTGACAGATGTATTTCATATTTGGTAGGAAGATAACTTGCATGGTATTCTTCCTTTGGATGGAGTAAGGGGTCAGTTGGGTCAAGGTCACCAGTGCTAAAAATAGATTTTTACACTTTTGCCCATACAGCCTTTATTTTTTGACAGATGTATTTCATATTTGGTAGGAAGATAACTTACATGGTATTCTTCTTTTGGATAGAGTTAGGGGTCAGTTTGGTTAAGGTCACCAGTGCTAAAAATAGATTTTTACACTTTTGCCCATACAGCCTTTATTTAATGACAGATGTATTTCATATTCGGTAGGAAGATAACTTGCATGAAGTTGAATATTTTTCATCTTCACAAGTCAGAGCAATGACTTGGCAACTTATATTTTTCACAATTACAAAATGCTATGACTTTGTCAAGCTACATATATTTCTTGTGTTTACAATTTTTTGGCAATTTTTCTGTCCTTAACTGAGTGAATGGGTAAACGTTTTTTTGAAACATTGCTACTGACAAGAATCTGAGCCGGGGGCATTTGTGTTTAACAAACACGCTCTTGTTTGATTAAGAAATAATATATCCCAAACAGTGATTTTATTGCTCAATAACATCACTGTTTGGAGTTGGGATGCACGGAATTATATCACGAGGGCGTAGCCCGAGTGATACAATGATGTGCATCTGAACGACAAACAGTGATGTTATTGAGCGATAAAATCACCAATTTGGATATATTATCTTGATTCTAACACGACATCAACAAATACATGCTGCCGTACCTGATATTTTAGCTAAATTGCGCCTGATTTGTTTCCGTACTTATTTTCAGCGCGTCGTTATATTTACAAATCTTCTATACGCAATTTCAAATAAGTGTAACATATTCCTTAATTTCATATACAATATATTTAATTGAATATAAATAATAATTAATTATCAGAAAATACCTTCTTTAATTTCGTATAAGTCTATATACATGTACTATACTATCTAACTAAATCAAGAATTTTTTTATCGGAAGTAAAATACCTTAAAGGCTGGAGCATCTGAGGGTACCAGTGGAGTTTCACTGGGATCCAGCTGAAACGGAGTCCCTTCAATCTCTCCCCACGTCATCAGTGGAGACTCGTCAACTCCTGGGGCCGGGGAGGGCGTGGCTACAAAACCATACCCATTCACTTTTGGCGTCATGCCAATTTCCAGTTCCTTCCCATCATGCCCTATTCTCCCAGAATGCTGCATAGTTTTCTCTGAAGCGGCTTGTTTAATCATTTCTTTACTTCTTTGAGTGTTCCATGGATTTAAATGAAAGCGAGTGTTTTCATGAAATATTTTCCGAGGTTTCTTCTTTTTCAATTCTAAGAGTTCAATTGAGCTGAGATCTTCCCCTTCTGGTATATACATGACGTGATTCCTAGTTTTGTATTTCCACGTGTCAACCCCAGCTTTACCATCTGTGATAGCAGCTTGTTGTTCAATGTTTGGTAATGCCAGTCTATCTTCTTCTTCCTGTATGTTTGATAACGAAATTCAAAAATTGAAATGATTCTATTCAATGGACCACATGCTTTTCAGTACTGTAGATTACTGCATTACAACAGTGAATTATATTTTTGATAAATTCCTAGTGAAATAGTCGACAAATTTTTGTTTTGGCATTCTTATGTTAAGTTCTTTTGCACATGTATATGGAAAAGTCAGTATGTTAATCAATCAATCAATCAATCAATCAATCAATCAATTGATCAATAAATCATCCTCTTTATCTTTATTAATTAGTTTTAACAGTTTCATTTGGGGGTGGGGGGGGAGGATTCCTATGTTAAGTGGGTTTTTTTGCATATGTACATGTACACATGTATATGAAAAAGAAAAGATGTTAATCAATCAATCAATCAATCAATCAATCAATCATCTCTGTAAATTAATTTTAAGAAAAGTAAGCTTGACTGAGAAATTCAAGGTTGAGATTTGTGTTTGATCGTGATAGTAGCAGGGCTCAAACCTATGATCCCTGGGTTGAAAAGCAGACACCTTTAACCACTAGGCCAAAGCCCTTCTGTATCAATTTTTGTTATTTCATCACACAGACAAAACAAACTTTAATATAGCTCTACTCACCTGTGTTCTGTTCACTTCATTCTCGAACAGCCAGGCATGTTTTTCCTTATGTTTTTTGTCCGCCTCTTCTAAGATTAGTTTAAATGAATCGTTATCTTCACTCGTGTTCTTTGACAGAAATGAATCGAGGTGAACTTTGACCTCTGGCTTTTCATCTGTAAGATATTGAACAAAATATGTATATAAATATAATCCTAGCTTTGATTACACAGGTCAATTAACTGAAAATTTGTCAATATTATGTGACTTCTTATTACAAGTATAAGTACAAGGAAATATATACATTTATACAATTATTTTATAACGTTTAAGAACATGTGCCAGAAAAATAATTTATAAAGTTTCATCAGTGGAAAATCAAAAGTTATACCCTTAACTGAGTGATATTTTTAACTGTTTGCTATGAACTACGCTCTCCCTCCTGACAAAATCTGGCACTGATCAAATAATATTTATAAATGCCATATTATCAAAACTTTTGAAGACCTGAAAAAGTTAAATACATACCAAAATGCAAGTACAAAGGCAACATAAAACTTGGATGAATCATTCACTTGGTAACTCACCATTTGTAGTTTTTTCTTCACCTCTACTGTGTGATACATGGCTCTGCCCTGTGTCTGGTCGTCTTGTTCGAGGTCTTTCCCCTCTGTCTGGTGTATCAAAATTTGCTGGGGAGGAAACTGAAAAAAAAAAAAGACTATATATATATGACTGGTTGCACTGGCATATCACTTAACTGTTTCTGCCACAACAACTATCAGTAGGACAATGTGCTTGACTATTCTCTGTGCTTCATAGTAAAACAAGAGTCTGGAAAATGTATAAGTTTCTTAGTTCAATAATGACCATAATAATGTTATAGTCCATGACAGATGGGCCTGATGTAGAGACTTTCTATTATTCTCTCAAAGTGTGAAGTTCTTTTTCCCACCCATTCCTTTCAGTAGTTATGAATATACCAACTTGTACACAAAAACTTAATAAACGAAGTGTGACACCATTGACTAGGTGAATACAATAGCTGTCGCTATCCTTTGAATAGTTGAGTTAAAAACTTATTGTAACTCACAAGTAATATTTTACACACATATAAAAAGATTTTGATATTTATTCCCATCCTTAACTTGAATATTTCATATATAATATTTAATAGAAGAAAACCATGAGTAACCTCAAGCTAGTTACATGTAAAGATTATGCAGGCTGGCCTGGCTCATTACTGTTGGCAAACACTAATCTTTTTCAATTCCAGCAGGTAAAGACAGTGTTTTTTCTCACTTGATTGGGTAGAGGCCTTGCCTATTCATTTTGGGAACAATTATCGCTAAAATTGCTTATTTGGGATAATGCTAGGGTAGTTAAGATTTTTGGGAAAACTACATGAATTTATAAAAAATTTAAATTGGGAAGAGGCCTTTTATAGGCCTCTGTTATATAAGGAGGAAAATCACTGAAAGATCATGTATAAATTACTTGTACTTACACACAGAATTGACAGTGTCCGGTCTTTTAGAGTATCTCATCTCAAGCTCCCTTAATTTTACTAAATCATTGTTTTCAAGTGCTTCAAAATACTCAGACTGGGCCTTCATCTTTGGTAAGTCGGGGTAGAAATCTTTCTCAATGATCTTTTCAAGCTCCTGTATAATATACAAACATTGTAATTGGTAAAATACATTTAATTTTTGCACAAACCTTCTGTAAAACAGAAAAAAAACATGTTCTTGTTGTCAAAAGATTAATGTGATAATCTATTATTACTGACCTATTAACTCAATAAGGAAAGTTGACAAAAGTGTCAGTACAAGATGTTATTTGGCATAAGGACCGTCATGTGATACTATAAATAGCTTGGTTAAAGACTTCTGCTGTAGATTTTTTACCTTCTTGTGGAGTGCTGCTTAAATTGTCCTCTAGTCTTATTATTTCTATGTGAATGGTTTGACCCATTTTACAGACTTTCAACCATTGGAAATATATATTGACTATACAAAATTATCTTGATGTTTCATTGACAAGTCCAAAGTTTGGCTAATAATGTCCCAATGAAACAGGAATTTTATTTTGTTCCATGTCACAGGATGAGAAAAATGTGCAGCCTGACTGTAGCTTGAACCGGGCACCCTCAGAATAACATACCGCGGCTCTACTGACTGAGCTATCTGGCCCCTTACTCATCCTCTACCCTAAATAGTGAACAGTTCTGAACCGTGATATACTCCCCCACTATATTGAAATTCATACCAAAATTTTACAGATTACAGAACAATGCTAATTGAACTCTGAGCTTTACAGTCAAGGTAACATGTTGGACACCAAATGTCACAGGGTGAGAAAAATTGCAGCCTGACCAGCACTTGAACCTGGGACCCTTGGAAAACCATACCGCTGCTCTAATGACTTAGCTATTCGGCAGCTTAAACATCCTCTCACCTAAACAGTGAGCACTTCTGAACCCAATATCTACAGTTACTTCACTTCTCTGTACAACATTACTTGTGATTTATTTTTCCAAAGCTTTTAGGGTCTGTACAATAATTTGTAACATACCTCTGTGTATTTCTCTTCATCCAGAACATTGACTTTCTTTTTCTCTGGTCCAAGACTTCCTTTCGGCTTGGCTACCACCAATGCCTTGCTACAAACTTTAACTAAGTCCATTTTGTAAAAATTATTTCTCAATAAATGATGGACAAACGTACAGGAAATCTCCTAGTCATTGAAACGTTTGTTGATGTTTGATGCAAGCGTCTGGGAGATTTTACGGAATTTGGACTTGCAAGGTTCGTTGACATTTTTTAACATCCTACAAGCTTGCCAGATTTTGGAATACACTTGAAATTACAAAATTATTCTAACGCTTTCCAGTGGCTGTTTTCAATTATCAAAGGCGATTCACTGATAAAAGATATTTGTAAGGTCCCATTGGCTTAGTAATCGGACAAATATTTTCGGATATGTAATTATTAATCATAATTAAAAAAAAAAGACTTCTTGACATTGACACTATGTTTTAGACGGCAAAAAAAGCAAAAAAAAAGCATTTCATTCATTATTATGGTCTGCTTATCAATTGGTTTTTATTTGGTTTATTTACAATTTAATTTTTGTTTAATTGACATTATGCCGCCTGTCAATCAAGCTGGCAGGGGTCTAGTCCAACTAATTGTACTGCGCAACCAGATATTGTGCTATTTTCGTGTCTGGGAAATATCTCGCCTCTACGTACAACATAAGAAGTACCTTTTCTGTGCTGAAATTTGCGCTAGAACGAAAATATCTCAGAATCAAGCTTTGGGCATGTCAATATATTTTGACTAGCAGGGGTCTTGATTAATTACAGATAAGCCAATCGGCGATAGTTATCAATTTCACGCTAAGATGTCTGAGAAGTCTGCCATTTTCCTTAGACAAGCTGTTTGTAGAAGACAATGGTGCAGCAGTATTTATATTGAAATTATTTTGATTTTTTTTCAATTTATCATTTTACCCCATGAGCATATTTCATTGAAAAGCCTCCTGTAACAAGTTCAAAATGCTATGAAACTATGAAAAATGGTTCAATACTGATGAAACTTGGCACAAATGATGACTAGCCTCTGTAACAGCATGCTCAATTGTAAATTTCCTGTTACCATGGCAACGGGGGGACGTCTCAAAATTGCCAAAAATCACTTTTTGCATTGTTTTTTCCATCAAAACTGATTTCAAAGTGCTGCAACTTCTCAATGAATTGAGATAGAGTAAAAGGCTTTTCAGCATCAGTTACTAGTTACCCTAAGATTGACCTGAGGCCATTTTTAGCCTGTCACATGTCAAAAATTTTCTTGGTGATGAGGGGCACTACCGCCCCCGTTCAAACCCCCCAAACAGAAGGGGGCACATCCCCCATCTGGCAACCCCCCCTGATGTAACATTTTGATGGGGGGCGGCACCGAAAAAGTGGTCGCTTTTTTAAACAACATTTCTCAAACGAAAAACAGTGTTTGGGGCCTAAATAAGGCATTTTTTCACTGTTTGAGGCCTCAAAAAGGGGGGGGGGGGACAAAGAACCGCCAAAACACGTCTATATGAGGGAAAAGGTTAAAGCGGTATATCTAAGATACAAAATATCCTGACATATTGACAGATGGAGTCAGTTGGTTCATTTTACAAAAACAAAAATATCAGTAACTTTCTATATATTAAGATAATAAGTTATATAGCAGGTACGAAAGTTAAAACTGGCTATACCACATTGCATTAAATAAGGAAAAAATTTAAACAATTGCTCTATTCCTTCCTTCATTACAATCATGTCTATTCATTATCATAATCACATAATATATTATAAGGTCTCAGAATATCCAGATAATATGTCATTTTTTTGTTTGTTTATAACATAGTGTCAAGAAAATGTTGCAGTAGAAAAAAGTACTTGCAAATAAAATGAGAAAATATGCAATAAATATTTTAGGCAAAATTATCCTACCTAAATATTTCTATTAAAGCTGAATGAATTTAGATTAAATATTTAAATACATCTGCTTCAATAACATCATATCTGATCACGGTTTTGATTTAAAGCCAAGGTCTTGTATATGCAAAACTTATTTTGAAGTGAATAATATTGCGTTTTATCACGAAAACATCTAATGTACAAATATACATATAATCATATATCATACAACAAAGTTACGCAAGGGCAATTTTCTCATTTAATTTTGACAATTTATGCACAAATGCATTACATACAAGTGATTTCACACATAAAACCCCAAAAACATTTGTAAATGTTTCTGTTTCATTGATTTGTAGGATTTATTTCATTTGTGAGTTTAAAATTTCTTAATGTTTGATATTTGCTGATTATTTATTATTTAAAGATTAAATGTGTAGTTTTTTTGAAACTTTTATGTAAACTGTATGTCTTTGTTGTAGTAAATGGTCAAAGGCATTTATAATGCCGATTTGCCAATAAATGAAATAAAATGAAATGATATAATTTTACTATTATATGTTCTGCTACATCCATTTTAACTATCTTTGAATTTGTAAACTAAAATGATATTTTGTCAGTAACATCTTCCTTGAAGTCAGCGAGAAATATAACAAGATCTTTGCCAAACATTTTATTCATCATTAATGTGTGAATGCAGTTATTTGTTACTTTTATAAATATCATAAAACATTGAACTGGATCTATTTAATAAAAGCAATAAAATTTTATATATACCAAATTATATAAGGTTAATTCATTAGTCATTTAAGTGGCATGACAGTATTGCATAAACGTTGGTACCGTCTTTTGTCTAAGGTTCTGAATGACCGGGTCACGTGATACAGTGTGAGAACAATCTCTTCTCTGGCGTAATGTCAATTAAGTATCATTCTAAAACATTTGATATTAAAGTCTAGTAGTGTAGCATAAGACTGCATGTGCTCAATTATGTTACATTTAATCATATAGGTTGTTGAATTTATTCCAGACACTGTCAACATGGAAACCAAAGATGTAGATGCAATATTTACATCAAAAACGGAGAAGACGTTCCAGTTTGACGAACAGCTGCCAAGTCTGCCTGTTCCTACTTTACAGCATACACTAGATAGATACCTCGACTCTGGTTAGCATTTTATGACATTAAAATGTCCGTCGTCCGTCCGTAAACTTTTGCTTTAAATGACATCTCCTCATAAACCACTGAGCCAATTTCATCCAAACTTCACAGGAATGTTCCTTTGGTGGTCACCTTTAAAAATTGTTCAAAGAATTTAATTCCATGCAGAACTCTGGTTGCCATGGCAACCGAAAGAAAAATCTTTAAATATCTTCTTTTAAACAACCCTAAGAGCTAGAGCTTAGATATTTGGCATGAAACATCTTCTAATGAGTGTCTACCAAGTTTGTTCAAATAAAAGCCCTGGGGTCAAAATTGGCCCTGCCCCAGGGGGTCATTGATTTTCCCTACATGCATATAGTAAAAACTTAAAAAATCTTCTTTTAAAGAACCCAAAGAGCTAGAGCTTAGATATTTGGCATGAAACATCTTCTAGTGAGTGTCTTCCAAGTTTGTTCAAATAAAAGCCCTGGGGTCAAAATTGGCCCTGCCCCGGGGGGGTCATAGATTTTCCCTATATGCATATAGTAAAAACTTAAAAAATCTTCTTTTAAAGAACCCAAAGAGCTAGAGCTAAGATATTTGGCATGAAACATCTTCTAGTGAGTGTCTACCAAGTTTGTTCAAATAAAAGCCCTGGGGTCAAAACTGGCCCCGCCCCGGGGGGTCATTGATTTTCCCTATATGCATATAGTAAAAACTTAAAAAATCTTCTTTTAAAGAACTGTAAGAGCTAGAGCTTAGATATTTAGCATGAAACATCTTCTAGTGAATGTCTACCAAGTTTGTTCAAATAAATGCCCTGGGGTCAAAATTGGCCCGCCCCAGGGGGTCATTGATTTTCCCTTTATGCATATAGTAAAAACTTAAAAAAACTTCTTTTAAAGAACCCAAAGAGCTAGAGCTAAGATATTTAGCATGAAACATCTTCTAATGAGTGTCTACCAAGTTTGTTCAAATAAAAGCCCTGAGGTCAAAATTGGCCCTGCCCCAGGGGGTCATAGATTTTCCCTATATGCATATAGTAAAAACTTAAAAATCTTCTTTTAAAGAACGCAAATAGCTAGAGTTTAGATATTAAGCATGAAACATCTTTAAGTAAATATCTACAAAGTTTGTTCAAATAAAAGCCTAGGGGTCAAAACTGGCCCTGCCCCAGGGGTGTCATTGTTTTTAACTATATGTGTATAGTAAAAACTTAAAAAATCTTCTTTTAAAAAACCCAATGAGCTAGAACTTAGATGTTTAGCATGAAACATCTTCTTATGGGTGTCTACCAAGTCTGTTCAAATAAACAAATAAAAGCCCTTGGGTAAAAATTGGCCCGGGGGGGGGGGGGGGGTGGAACTATATACAGGTGAGCGACCTCAGGGCCATCATGGCCCTCTTGTTTGTAGCATTTTTAAGCCTTAGGTTAATATTAGTAAATGTAGTTCAATGCTGTATTGGGGTTTTAGAGTCAGACAGTGTTTCTACTAGACCACTGGACCTTTTCGTTTACCGTCAAACCTATAAACAGAGATCATGGAAAGGAGAGACCAAATAAGGCCTTAAGGACAAGTGGTTTTTATTTAGAGGTTACGCTGTTCTATTTAAATCAATGGCAGGTTTTTGAAAAGTAGTACAGGGTGATCTTTGTAATTTGAAAGTGGTCTTTAACACAGATTTTATTGTATTTTCAATAATATATCAGGACTAAACTGAATTTATCAATTTTGCTTTACTGTAGGACTAGTCTGGCTGTTATTGATGAAAATGCATCATTTTAATTTATATTGAAAGACAAGTATTGACAATATATCAATGTATCAAACTTAAACTTGCTAAAACCATTTAAATACATGTTTTAGTCATCACAAATACATTCTTATAAGAAAGAATTTTTCATGTTATCTATATGTCTCACTGACTTCTGAAAATTAAATTCTGGGTTCAAGCTTGCTGAGAAAAAACAGAGTGAACTTACTTTTCTTTTCAGAAATAATGATAATAGTGAGATATTTGCACAAGGCAGTGAAATGGGTTTTAAACTTAGTTTTAATTGATATTCTAAATTATGAATTAAGATTGAATTGAATCTTGAATAAGGATGCCATATTGATATCGTGATATTCAATAACAGGGGATTAACAGCCGAGTGCCACAAATTGAATACATTGTATATTGTTTTTTATATCTCTTAGTTAAACCACATGTCAGTGATGATGAGTATAGGCAAACAGAATTCATTGTGCAACAGTTTGCTTCTGGTGTAGGGAAAGAGCTCCATAGGAAATTGCTTGATAAAGCCAGGACAGAGAAAAACTGGGTAAGTTTAGTTGTCAGTAATATTTGGTAAATGTCATTTTTAACTTTTTTTTAAGAAAAAATCATTAATGCTGATGAGAGACTGAGCTGTCTGTAAAAATCCTGCTTGAAGTATTATAAATTTGCCACAGAGTTGCCATTGACTGGCAACACAGACGGGTGTTCCACAGTCTTCAGTTACTCAGGCTCTTCAGGAGGGAGAGCATTGACTAGAGAGAGAGGGGAATGTGCCATGTCTATCTTTTCTTTATGCCATTGTTGCTTGTGGGATGTCATTGATAATATTGACATTTGTGGGTTGTTTCAGATTTTGGCTAGTGCCATATCTGTGGGGGATATATATTTCATACACTGTACTTGGGAGAAAATATAAGCTCTTACACAGATGAAGTAAACATAAACTGTTAAAATATGTACTTAATCATCAATTTATTTAAAGTGGCATTATGCTCATATTTTCATAGTCCAGTTGAGCTGAATTAACTTTATATTTCAAAAGATTGACTGTTAAAATGGTGCTTGACCAACAGGGGATATTTGAAAATGTTTAGGATAAAATCAAAATGTTCCTTAAATATAAAAAGACTGCCCCACTCTTTTTATAAACTGAATGTAACACGTAAATTCTAATTGATATTTACAGAAAATTCCTTAGAATCCGAGCATTATTGATTGTTTTTGCGAAGTCAATTATTAAATCAAAAGGAATTATTGCAATATAAAAATTTATTTATATATTCACATGTTCACTCACTATAATTATACCCTTGGATGGGCATAATCTCACTGTAACACAGAAGCTTGAAATTGTATCCAAGTATCAAATGCTGATACTGGTTTGTATATTCTTATCAAAAGTTTACATGATTATAATTATAGAATTATTAATTCTGTTTTTTGTTGTTGTTTTTCCAAAAGAAACATGATAAGTTGCTTTGAACTCTTTATTGATTGTAAAAATATAATTTCCACTTTTTGTGACTATGACTGATAAATTTGCTTAGTGTTAACATTACTTTGATAGTCATTCCATGTGTAGTTATATTTGTATTTTCAGCTTGAAAAATGGTGGATAGATTATGCTTACCTGGATTACAGGCTCCCTATTGGCCCTATGATAAATTTTAGCGGGCCACTGCCCACTATATATCATTATTACAAAATAGAATACGAAACACAAGTTGAAAGGGCGGCCATGCTGTGTCACTATTATTTCAAATACTGGAAATATCTACGACTGTAAGAAGTTATTCTATACACGCAAACTCATTGAACGCAAGCTGTCATAATAATAATTGTCACCTTAGTGCAGTAACGGGGTAACTCATATTAAATTATATAAGAAGTTAACCCTTTACTGCACTTAGGTGTGGAGACAATGACTTGCCCATGCTGCAAATATAAAAGTTAGGCCAGGTCAGTGCTCTCTTTGAATTTGATTTTTAAAGAAGCAGTCAAAAGTTTGAGGGTACCTAGCAGTTAGAGGTTCCTGAGTAATTTTAAAGCATACGGTAAACCCTGTAGAGCCGCACCCTCTGGGAGACAATGATTCTGGTTGTTAATGAGAGATGTTATGTTGCAGAGGTTACATATATTTGTGAAGTCTTACTTTGGGAAAAAATGAAACTGTTGTTGTGAAGAGATGATTGGTCTACAGAGGGCCACTTTGCAGAGGTGGTACTGTATTGTTTTGTCATTGGGTTGGCACCACATCTAAAGTAGGCCGCAAATTTTGCCAGCCAATTCGGAAAAAGGAGAGCACTGCCAGGCTGTTTTTCTGTGCACTCTTACCAGGCTTGATACTATAGGCTGCTTTATTGCATCTTTATTATATTAAAATCCCTTTAAGTAACAATGGATTGTTCCAAATTCAAAGCTAGGCAAGTCCATTTTCTAAATACAGCATTGAAAGTGTTATTTTTTCTCCTGAGGCATAGAAAAAATGTGGTTCATCCATAATCCTCATCCTTCATATTGGCTAACCAATTCATTTTAATTGTTTCTTGAACTCAATTTTACTCTGTAAAATTATTTATCACTGAAAAGGATATTTTATTATTTGCTGAAATATATGGTCCTGTAAATATATATTGTCCTCTGAGGTCGAAAAGCCAAAAAAAAAACACAAAATAAAAAACACTTAAAAAATTTGAATTTCTCATATAGATTAACATCAGTGTTTAAAACAGAAATATATGCAACAGTTAATAAAAAATATACTCAGAATTAGGTCTAAATTGAGAATGACATTTTTTCACAATTCTTAGTCGGATTTAAGTTAAAAGCATTGAAAGGTTTTTCATTCTTGGACCATTTTTTCACAAATAAAATAATTATTCTGAAAAAGATGATCTGAAAAAATTATCTGTAGTCCAGACCTACATCAAATGGCAATGCTTTTCACTCAAATTGGGCTACCTAAGAATCTAAAAAAAAAAATGATTTAAAATTCAATTCTGTGCATATTTCTGCATTTTTGTTTGCAAATTTTAAATGCGTCTCTTTATCTATGTAAGGATTTCAAATTTTATGTTTAAAGGCTATTTGACCAAAGTGACATGAATGGACCACATTTTTTACTCAGAATGGTTAAATGTTTGCTTACCGTATTATTGTTATGTTATATGTGCATGGCTTTGGTTAATTTGTTATGTTTATTTACTAATAAATCACTTTCATTGAATGGTAGGTTTATTTCGAAAAAGGAAAGTAAATTCATGTACATAGTATGTGAATTTTAAGGCTATAAAATCTAAAAATTGAATATTTGAGTAAGAAAAATTTTAAGACATTTTCATGCATACTTGCCAAAAGTGGCATTAATAGGCCAAAATTGCTAGGGGAGTATTGGTTACGGCACTTTGCTACGAAAAATAATGTACAACACATTGTGTCTCCTTTATACGTGTATTCAGAACTGCTAACATTTCACGTTATGCATACTTTGGCGCCATTTGACAGCATATATGAGCTTATTTCTGGACAGGGAGGTAACTTCTGTTGACAAGATTTTAAAGGTACTCATACATTGTAAGGAATGACAGTGTTACCATTCAAATGTATATGGCTGAAATTTGTTTCTTGACAAATAAGATTTCCAACTGAATTAATACATATACATGTAACTTATTTCAAAAAGCAATTGTTTCATAATTATATAATCTGGCAATGACATTTTCATTTATTTAAACCACATAGCAGTGTTTCAACCTTAAACTTTTTATATTTCTTAAATGAACTTGTCCATCTTTCAGTCTGAACAAAACTATTCATCATTTTAAGGAAAAGAACTTAATATATAGTGAACAGTATAGACCATGATAATAGTGTACAGTGTTGACCATGATAATAGCTAAGAGTGCAGACCATGATAAGAGGGAGCAGTGCAGACCATGATAATAGCCAATAGGGAGCAGTGCAGACCATGATAATAGCCAATAGGGAGCAATGAAGACCATGATAAAAGCCAATAGGGAGTAGTGCAGACCAAAATAATAACAAGTAGTGCAGACCATGATAATAGCCAATAGGGAGTAGTGCAGACCATGATAATAGCCTATAGGGAGCAGTGCAGAACATGATAATAGCCAATAGGGAGTAGTGCAGACCATGATAATAGCCAATAGGGAGCAGTGCATGATAATAGCCAATAGGGAGCAGTGCAGATCACGATAAAAGCCAATAGGGAGTATTGCAGACCAAAATAATAACAAGTAGTGCAGACCATGATAATAGCCAATAAGGAGTAGTGCAGACCATGATAATACTAAATACCCTATAGGGAGCAGTGCAGACCGTGATAATAGCCAATAGGAAGCAGTGCAGGCCATGATAATAGCCAATAGGGAGCAGTGCAGACCATGATAATAGCCAATAGGAAGTAGTGCAGACCATGATAATAGCCTATAGGGAGCAGTGCAGACCATGATAATAGCCAATAGGGAGTAGTACAGACCATGATAATAATGAGTAGTGCAGACCATGATGATAGCCAGCAGTGCAGATCATGATGATAGTGAACATTGCTGACTATGAGCTGTCAACTGCTAGCAAGCTAAGGGTTAAAATGATTACACCAGGGTCTTTCACTTTTCACGATTTTCTTTTTCCAAACCAGCATTTGAAATACCAATGAAAGATAGTGTACATGTATTAAAAATGAAAATTTTTGAAGGTTTTTATTCATTAGTTAGTTCTGTGATGTCATTGATGTGTATAGTAATTCTTTTGTCATATTTCAGATACTTTGAAACAGCTGCAGTGGATGGTGTTGAGGTCACATACTTATTTATATATACAGTCAAACCTTAAATCAAGACCTCTCAGACGTCTTTAAAATACAGTATGACTCAGTATTAAAATACCCAATAAAAAACCACAAAAACACCAAAAATAAGCACATCTAAACATACATGTACTTTTATTTTATTTTAAATTCAGTATTTCTTATGCATTTATAATCGGTAAATACAGCTAGACTGGCATTAAAAGCACATGACGTAACTTTTCAAAGAGTGGTCGTGATTAACTGGTTTAACTGTATCACAGTTTTTTATACTATTGAAAATATATCGGGTTAATTTTGAATTTTCATTTTCTCTTTAACAGCTGGAGAAATGGTGGCTAGATTATGCCTACATGGACTTCAGACTACCTCTGGCCCCGTTGCTGAACTTTGCGGGCCCGGGACCCTATATGCATCACTATCTACCTCAGAAAGATGGGAACCAATTAGAAAGGGCTGGCCTTCTTATATACCTCAATTTAAAACATTGGCATATGATCAGAAAGTAGGGATTTCTGTTCTGAACAACTACTCATGCTTATGACCAATATTTAACAAAAAGGCCAAAAAAAAGTGTGTGTTTCTGGTTAATGGAAAAACACTGAATTCAGCTGCAAAAACTTCATTTTTATTGTATCGTAGAAACGATTTTGTATCATACAAAAAAAACAGTACTTTATTATTTCCCGATTTTACAGCTTGAATGCTTCATTTTTTTGCTTGAAATTAAGAAGAACTGTTGCCTAAATGTCAAACAGTAGCGAGACAGCAAGTAACTTGGCATCTTGCCAGAATGGTTGTAAAAATGTTGGACTATCTAATATTACCAAATGTTATTTTATTTCAAGCTTACAGAAACATGCAATTATTGTTCTTTGGCCTTGCTGAAAATAATGCATTTTAGTTTTTAACCTACTTGAATGGAATTGAGCTTGAGTCTGTGTTCTGAAAAACAGACCAGCAAAAAACAGGTACCAGTATAATTTCAAAGGCTCTTACCATTTACAGTTAAACCTGTATTAAAGACCACCTCTCAATAAAGATCACTCTGTAAATAAAAGGCCACTCATCAACTACCCTTCATTGATTAAATATAACATTATTATATAAACCTCCAAAATAAAGACCACTTCTCTATATAGTCCATGTTTGGTATCTACTTTGGGTGGCCATTGCGCGCAGGTTTGACTGTATATTGCTTAGACTTTCCTTTTTGGAGAAATTAATTTTAAACATACTCTTCATACATGACAAGTTCAGTTAAAGTTAAGAATTTATAAAAACTAAAATGTATTATTTTTGGCCTATCTGTTGTAAATTTTACCATGCATGTATTGTGCTGAATGTTTGCTTGCTGACACAGCTTGTGTGTACCAATTTTGTGTCATGTCATCCTGTGTTAGCTATAGGTGCTTGCTTTTGTCAGAGTTTTTATTTGTCTCAGAGCTGACTGAAAATTCATTTGTCTGCTTTGTTCTGTATTTCTGTGATTCAAAGACCATTGGTTGGTTCAAAGTAATCTGGTTATAGCATACATTGGTTTCATAAAATACATTTTAGCCGGCTAAAAATCCCCTGCAATATGTAATAGGCCACCCAGCCAGCTGCCTTTGGTAAATTCTTTCATGTACCTTTCATATTCCTTCCTACTTCCGAAGTTCCGTATGATATAATAATCCAGAAGCTACTGTCCCTCTGTATATGGAATTAATTGATGTAAATACTGCTAGCTTATTGTTTGTCTGAAATGGTAAAATTTTAACAAATATTAAATACAGTAAAATTGATGCTGTTTTTATGTCTGTGATAGACTCTATGTAAGTAATGTACATAAAACAGTATGTTTTCCATTTTAGAAACAGTTTACAAATTCATGCCATTCCAGATGTACCTGTTATACCATTTATAACATATTTAAATTTCTATGCAATTTCAGATGCACCAGATACCTGAATGTGGTTAAAAATATTACAAATTTATACTATTTCAGATGTGGCTGATATACCATTTTTGAACATAACAAATTTATTCAATTTTGGCTGCAGCATAAATTTCACTGTGGTTAAAATATTTACAATTTTATACCATTTCAGATGTAGCAAATATACCATTTTGAGCATGATTACAAATTTATGCCATTTCAGCTGCAGCATAAATTTGACTGTGATTAAAAATTTTAAAATATTTACAAATTTATACCATTTCAGATGCGGCTGATATACCAATTTTGAACATAATTACAAATTTATGCCATTTCAGCTGCAGCAGATATTTTCAATTTATTTATCATTCCAGCAGCTGTTGTTACTGATATATCATCGGCATCTCCTAAGTGTGCATTTTATATCAGTAGAGTTCATTAAGTGCATTGTTAGGGTATCCTGAGTTTCATTAACCTTGGTGGTTGTTTTTATACAATCAAAGGCTGGAAATTTCATCACTTTCTTACAAGTGAAGTCAATGGCATTATCAAAGCAATTGTGAATGACAACTTCTCTACTTGTGTCATTTCAGCTTGAGGCGTGGTGGAGAGATTATGCTTACCTAGATTTCCAATTACCAATCTGCCCATATGTTAATTTTGCTGGTCCTGGACCATATTTACATCACTTTTTACCTAAAGCCGATGGTGTTTTGATAGAAAGGGCGTCCCTTTTGACCCATTTGGGCCTCGGTTTTTGGCATCGTCTGAGAAAGTAATTTTTTATCAGTAGGAAAAAAGGCTTCTTTTTTATTATTTGCTGAAGATAGCTTAAGTTTGAGAAAATACATTTTGCACTATACTAATACATGAATTTTCTATTCTCTTGCTCTTTTATATCACTTGAATTTTAACTTTCAAATCCTAGTATGGTTACTTAAATCCCTCCCACGTCTTATGGTCATATGTACAAGAAGGCTTTTAGCCATAGATCAGTCATGGGTACATGTTTTCAAGCATTGGACTGAAGTTCAGGTTGTTTCTAATCCTTAAAACTCTCTTTGTCTATATAAAACCAATTGATATAACACTTAATTCTTCTGATATTTTTAACTTGCTCCTATCCATGCACTGTAAAAATGTAGAAAAAGTATTTTAGCCATAAATCAGTTATACACTAAACATTAAACATGTGCAAGAAAGCTTTTGGCCATATAATATACTGTCAACAAATACAAGAAGCTTTTAAGCCATATATCAGTCAACCAGTTAACATTAAACAAGAAAGCTTTTTGCAATATAATACACTGTCAGCATGTACATGATCATGTATAGGAACACTTTGATTATAAATCAGTCTCACACTAAACATTAAATCATGGGCAAGAAAATTTTTACCCATAAATCACTGGGTGAACATGAACAAGAACACTTTTGTAGTAAATCTGTCACAAAATGAACATAAAACATGTGCAAGAAGGGTTGTAGCCATATAACACAATGTAAACATGCACAAGAACCTTTTAAGCCATAAATCAGTCACATTATTTGCATAAAACATGTTCAAGAGAGTTTTTTTGCCATAAATTACTCTGTAAACATGTACAAGAAGATTAAAGTTAAGCCATAAATTAAGCACACACTTCACATAAAGCATGCTCAAGAAAGCTTTTGGCCATATAACACACTCAGACACTGTAAACATGTACAAGAAGCATTTTAGCCATAAATCAGTCAGACACTGAACATAAATTTGTGCAAGAAAGCTTTTTGGCCATAATTTTAACACACTGTCAACATGTTCAGAAAGCCTTTAAGCAATAATTCAGTCATGCAGTAAACATAAAACATAGACAAGAAGCCAGTTGGCCATATATCACAGTGACTGTAAACATATACAAGAATGATTTGGTCTATAAATCACACTGGTTCTTTGTACAAGAGGCCTTTTGGCCAGAAAATACACACTGAATTGTATGGTTATTCCTGGGACATTGTGTACCTAATCATATCTGGGCTGCATATTTATGAGACCTTAAATAGCTTACCCATACTACAAATCTGATAATATTGAGGGGAAAAATATTATGTAAAAAAATGGCCATAATAAAAGTTGGAATAGTTTTCTTATATGCATCAAGGTACAGTTCAATGACTATAAACAGACCAACAACAATATGTGCTATATCTTCTAAAACATTTTTTTTATGTACAATGAGATAAAGTTTTAGCTAAATATTAACTTTATATCTTCCAGTTGAGTCTAAAAAAAAGTTTAAAAAAAAAAACAGGAGAAATAGATTGAAAATATAGTTTCATGTAAAGTTCAACTTTTACAACTAAGAATATCCAAGGCTTGTTTTATATTCATTTAATAATGCATAATTATTTTTCTTGCATTACTGTTGTAGCAATCATACCTTATTTTCACTTCTTGTTATGTTTACTCTTTAATTAATTAAAGGCACATTATGCCTCAGAAATGAATATATTTTTCATTCTTTAGAAAGGGCAACCATGAGTTTTTTAATGCTTGAATAATGGTTTCAGAGAATATTAAATGTTTAACAACTAAAAACAGTAGCCTTGAATGTGCATAAATGTGCCATAAAGTTATAGCATCTCTGAGGCGTGATATTGTCTTTAATTAAAGATTATGCCTGTAGTCTAAAGACATTAATCCTGAAATTATATATCTGTATAATAGTTTGCTAAAAAGTACAAAATTCACTTTTGAAATATCTTATACAATTATTTAATATCATATAATTTTTAAGCTTATATCTTCATGCCTCCAGATACCGATAAGCCAAAACATTTCAAGAGGATCCAACTTGAGGACATTGTATTTAGAATTTAATAAAAGTAAAAAGATTCAAATTATTCAAGTAATCATTTACATATTATATGCGATTAATGACTGAATTTGCATTATTTATTGCTATTTCTACTGGGTAACTTAACATTTTTATTATTAATAACATAAATCTATACTTAACATAAATCTATACAAGAAAAATCTGCAGGCATGATCTTTAACATATAATATTTTAACTTCTGTTTTGTTTGCTTTTAATCTTGTTGTACTAACACTTATTTTGTTATATATGATTTTTAATTTCTATTATACATGTTGAAATTATTCCATGTATTTTAAGTCATTGATAAGATTGAAAATAATGTTAACTACAATGTATTTTGTATATGTATTTTAAAATCTAATTCTGCAAAGAAATTATGCTAAAGCATATTTTTCTAACTTATAACAAAAATTGAACAATCAAATTTGTGTCAACCATATCATAATTGTGCACCAGTTTCATTGTGATGGATATATACTGTATATTTTTAAAGTAGTGGTTTTGCAAATTTAATGAAATAGAAAAAATGTGGGGAAAATATGAAATCCTACAACATTTTAAGTATTTTCAAAGAGAATTTCTAAGTTTTCATTAAAAAGATATTTAAGTTCACTTCTATTCAGATGATGAGGAAATATTTTAATATTTTGTTTAAATTTTTTGTTAATCTATTAGAGAACAAATTAGACCAGATAAGGACAGTAAAGGTAACAGGCTTTCAATGAACCAGTTCAGACGTCTTTTCAACACATGCAGAATACCGGCACCACAAAGGGATCATCTCAAAACCTACTTTCAAACTGGTAAGTTACGAAGGGATCATCTCAAAACCTACTTTCAAACTGGTAAGTTACAAAGGGACCATCATTCTCAAAAACCTACTTTCAAACTGGTAAGTTTGCAAGGGACCATCTCAAAGCCTACTTTCTAAAGGATTTACTCACTAGAGTGTTGGAGCAGTACCTCTATATGCTTGCAGAAATCATGATCACAAAGTAGGAAAATATGGCTGTTTTAGCCATTTATTATATTTTTTATTCATGGTTGTATGGTAAAGTGACATTATTAACATATAGTTTTATTTTTATGCCACCGCAGCATCTGCGATGCGGTGGCATATAGCGATTCACCTGTGTGTGTGTGTGTGTGTGTGTGTTTGTTTGTTTGTTTGTGTGTGTGTGTGTTATATAGATTATATAGTGAACTTAAAAAATCTTCTTGTGAAAAACCACTAGTCCAATTTCAACCAAACTTGGCAGGATTGATCCTTGGGTGAAGGGCTTCCAAAGTTGTTCAAAGAATTTAATTCCATGCAGAAATCTGGTTGCCATGGCAACCAAAAGGAATTATAAGAATAAATTTAAAAAATCTTCTTGTAAAGACCCAAAAGGCCTAGAGCTTAGATATTTTGCATAAGGCATTGTCTGGTAGACCTCTACCAAGATTGTTCAAATTATAGCCCTGGGGTCAAAATCGGCCCCGCCCCGGGGGTCATTGATTTTCACTATATGTACATATAGTAAAAACTTAAAATACCTTTTTGTAAAGACCCATAGGCCTAGAGCTTAGATATTTTGCATAAGGTATTGTCTGGTAGACCTCTACCAATATTGTTCAAATTATAGCCCTGGGGTCAAAATCAGCCCTGCCCCGGGGGTCATGGATTTTCACTATATGTACATATAGTAAAAATTTAAAATACCTTCTTGTAAAGACCCAAAAGGCCTAGAGCTTAGATATTTTGCATAATGCATTGTCTGATAGACCTCTACCCAGATTGTTCAAATTATTGCCCTGGGGTCAAAATCGGCCCGGCCCCGGGGGTCATTGATTTTCCTCATATTTACATACTAAAAACTTATAGTAAAAAATTTCTTCTAGCAATTGACAAATGCTAGAGGTTAGATACTTTGCATGAAACATTGTGAAGTGAACCTCTAGGAAGAATGTTCAAATAATAGCCCTGGGGTCAAAATTGCCCCCGCCCCGTGGTCATTGATTTTCAATATATACATATAGTAAAAAATAAAAAAAAATCTTATTGTCTGAAGGTACAAGGCTTAGAGCTTTAATATTTGTTAAATGATATCATCTATAGGTACTCTACCAAAGTTGTTCAAATTTTGCCTCTTAAGTGTCAAAATAAAAAGTGAACTTTGATATCAGCTGACCTTGATTTTGACAAAGTGTATTACATGTTGTCCTTTGATGCAGTCATGAAATTTTAGGCTGTGTGAAATATGACCTTCACCACAAAATTCACTGGACTCAAGTGCATTGATATATTCCTACTCTGATCTTTTATTGAGTTAACAATAGATTTAACCACTAATCTGATAATAAGAATTAGATAGGTCAGGGATCTATGCATTATGACAATCTTCAATTGTATAGAAACAAAACAAATCTGTTCCTTGTAACACTACTATTTAGTGTTGTATTAATGCGGTGGCATAGCATTTTTCTCAAATGCAATCTTGTATATAGTTGTAAATATTAAATTTAAATACTGCTGCAGGCTAGGCAAGAAAAATAGATTTATTCAATCATTGAATGACTATTCAAATAAATCAAAAACCACTATGATGAATTTTCTAAGATTTTTACCCATAGTGCTACATTTTGTCACTTTACTCAGTGTGCTATAGTATTTGTTTCTGTTGTTGTGTATCAGAATTTACTATGTACTAATACCATATTATATACATGTACTCATATAAGTGTATGTATGAAAGAAGAACAAGAAAATTTGGGTTTCCTGCTTGTGGATCCAAAGCTTAAAGAAAAAAAAATAACGAGATTTGTTTTAATCGACTATACATGTATTGTTTAATTATCAGAATCTGAAGGGCCGATGCCTTTGCACCTGACAGTTTTTTGTCGTGGACGTATATTTATTACGAAATGTCTGGACGAGAATGAGGTACCATTAACACCTCCGGAACTACAACAACAATTCCAGTATATCACCGATAAATGTGCGAATGAGCCGGAGGGGCCAGGGTTAGGGGCTCTCACAGGGGACAATAGAACAACGTGGGCACAGGTAAAATTTAAATACACCGTATTGCTTTGAAAATGCACTGGTTTTTTGAACGTCTCAAATATTTTGTTGATTAAGTGAATTAAGTACAGAATTTATTAGATTTGAAGTCATAAGTGTTTGCTGTTGATTAATTATTAAACTTTGTACATTAAAACATTAGAATGTCTTCCTGGTGCATGACCATGATATTGGCCTGGTTTGGTTCATAGGTAGAATCTGTTGCTGCCTACAGACTAAGGGTTAATAATTTAACTCCCAGTAGATATTATTGATGTAATTTGCCACCAACATTTCACTTATCTGTTCACAGATAAGAAGCCGTCTTGTGGCCTTACACCCACAGAACTTTACAAACCTGGAAATCATCCAACAAAGTATAATGTGTGTAGTGTTTGATGACAACTGTCCTGCTAATGAAACTGAGGTATGTATCACATGTGGTTTATATTTGTATTCTAGATTGAAAAATAACAGCAACATCCACCTCACGGCTGTTTAATCAGTTTATATTCTTTAATTAATTGATCATTCTGGTCAAGTTTTGTTTCATGTGTTCATTCAACATAGTAAGTAAGTAAGTAACGACTTTATTTGATAAATATAATATAAATATAGTCTTATTAAAATACATGTATAAAGGCCATATAGAACATTAAAAATAGTTTGTTTCAAGTACATGTGGCTAACACATTCAATTTCTGGATCTTCCTTGTTGGCCTTGGAACATAACTTGAAATGAAATCATATTTATTGCTGCATAAGCTATACACATAGTGGCAAATGGATTTAACTCACTACAGGATTGGAGCAGTACCTCTAGATGCTTGCAGAAATCATGGTCATAAAATAGAAAAATATCGCTTTTTTTGGTGTTTCTTACATTTTTCATTTGTTACTGTCTATAAATTGATGTGAAGAGATGAATTAAACGTCTTAAAGTACATTTTGCGGAGTGAAAAGGCGAGATTATACCATTAACAGTTAATCATATAAGCGCCTTGTTCAGTATATACCGAAGTTCAGTGTTTAATGTGGTGCTCCAACACTTATTTAGTCTTAGTCGTGATAAAATGTGGTCAGTGTCTCCCTTTGTCATAATGACAGTAAAAATGTTATATCCTTTGTAAAATTTTCTAGAATGTTATGTTTACCTCCTACTTTAAGTTTGAATCTCCATCAACCCATGTCATGTTATGTTACATCAACCGTTGGTATCGACGTTGAGTTTTAATATGCTCTTCTTTTAAAAGTCACTTATACCGTGGAATCTTACAAAGCTTTGGTAAATATACAGTAATATCATAATAATTTGAATTCTATTTTGTATGTGTAATGTTCTAGGTGTTCCAGTTAGGTTTAGCTGGTGATTCTACAAACAGATGGTTTGACAAATCTTTGACCATGATTTTCTTTAAGAATGGACTGGCTGCCTCAAACTGTGATGTAAGATTCTTGATTTTGTTTCTTTTTTTTCCTGTTTTCGGGTGGTGGTGGTTTTCTATAGAAAACTTTTTATAAAGTAGTCAAATAAAATTACTAAAACTATGTGTCAGCTGCTTTTGCTTTAGAATTTCGTGATATAAAACGGATAAGAAAGTGAAATCTGTGGATTTGATACAATATTATACATTTATAATTTTATATATGATAATGAGATTTATGAAACTGATACAAAAACAGATGGAGTAGTGATATTGAAATAATAATAATAATTTAGATCTTTTCAGAGACTACTTAATATTGGTCCTGTACTATTCTTTCAGATTCATATTCTTCTTTTATCAAGCAATGCTATGGGCATGTTTTATATGAACAAATTATGCCCAAATTTGATGTTTATTTTAGCACTCACCAATGGATGCCATGACATTGGTTACCACCACATACTATGTTGATCAATGTGTGTTGAAATGTAAAGGGAAATGGCAGGTTTGTTCTTTTCTTTCATTTAGTTTATACAAATTTATTTTAATTTGATAGTGTTGGAAGCTTTAAACTTTTTAACACTCTAGAATCCGTTCCTGGAACCAACCAGTACTAAGCAATGAATGTAAAGTTTCTTGCTCAAGAAAACAACGTCTTGCCCCTTAATCTTTAGATTAATAGTCTGACGTGTTAACCACTTGGCCACACCGCTACTGCTACTCTTCATTCATTATCCTGTTAGGTTTTCTCCTGGCTTATTCACTGCTAGTGGTAAAATCATCCATTGATATTACAAAATTAGTATTCTTTTATTGTATGGGTTGACAAATTTATGAAATCAATGTTAAAACTCTTACTATGTAACCTAACTTTTGTAATTTTAGGGAACAAAAGAAGTAAGGCAATTAGAAACTCCACGGGAGCTTGTGTTTAAGCTAGATGATGTCATTGAAAGAGGAATCGTTCAAGCAAAACGGGTCTACAATGAAATTGTAAGTTTATAGGTTATTTACCATTTAAATGCATGGGGAAATAATGATAGACCTATGCTACCAATATAGTCTGGCCAGTATGCTGTTAGGCCAGAATACCTGAGTGTTGTTAGGACAGAATCACTGAGTGCTGTAAGGACAAATTTCCTGAGTGTTGTTAGGCCAGTATCACTGAGTGCTGTGAGGCCAAATTCTCTGAATGTTGTAAGGGGCTGTTAGGACAGAATCTTTGAATGCTGTTTGGACAGAATACCTGAGTGCTGTTAGGACAAAATCCCTTGAGTGCTATTAGGGCATAATCCCATGAGTGCTGTTAGGCTAGAATCCCTTGAGTGCTGTTAGGACAAAATCCCTTGAGTGCTGTTAGTACATGACCCCTTGAGTGATGTTTGGCCAGAATCCCTGAGTATTGTTAAGACATAATCCTTTGATTGCTGTAAGGACAGAATCCCTTGATTGCTGTTAGGACATAATCCCTTGAGTGCTGTTAGGACAGAATCCCCTGTGTGCTAGTAGATCATTCTTGAGACTGATTATTGCTCAGTGTCAGTAATTTGATAGTGTAATTATTCCTTTTACTATGAATGGATTTCTCTAAATTCTGGATATAGGGCTTTTGTTCAAGATGATTAATGTCCTAAACTGGTACAACTGTCTTGCCTTCTTACTAAATTTATCACAATGTTTTTATACACTGTTTCTAGTTTTAGAAAGACATATTTAAAACTAAATCTTAATTAATATGCAAACAATGATATATCTGAGACTATTTTAAATCACAACTTAAATTAAAACATGTGATTTTTTTCCTCAGGCCAACAATTTACAGAGTCATGTTGTCAACTACAATAAGTATGGTAAGAAATTTCTGCGCCAGTTCAAACTCCACCCAGACACACATGTTCAAATGATGCTCCAATATGCCTTCTACAAACTGTATAAGAAGTAAGCTTTTCACTACTTCGATAAAATATGTAAGAAATAAACTTTTCATTACTATAAACTGTATAATTACTTTTACAAACTGTACATGAAATAAGTTTTTCACTACTTCTATAAACGTGGCATCCATGGCCGAGTGGTTAAGGTCATTGACTTCAAACTTGCCCCTCAACGCTGTGGGTTCAAATCCCGACAGGGACTTTGGATTCTTTCATGTGAGGAAGCTATCCAACTAGCTTACAGAACTTCGGTGGTTCTATTCAGGTGCCCATTCATGCCTGAAATAATGCACGGAAGGGCACCTGAGGTCTTCCTCCACACTTCTATAAAATATGTAAGAAATAAACTTTTCATTACTTCAATAAACTGTAAGAAGTAAGTCTTTCACTACTTTAATAAACTAAATAAGAAATAAGCTTTTCACTACTTCTATGAACAGTATATGAAGTAAATTTTTCAAAATTGTTCAGTTAAACTGTATTATAATGTATGTTGTTTTTATACAGAGGGAACTGAAAATTGACAAAAACCTTGCAACCTTGAGCGAATGTTAAGATAACTGATTTATATGGTGGCTGATTTGTTCTATGTCATATATTTTTGGGGCACCAGATAAAAAAACAACAACAAAGTGATCACGATATTTTCGCCTTTCGCTGCAGAGCGAAAAATGCAACATGGCATAAATCAGCCACCATAGATTTAAGCCACCAGTAAATATACAGACTTTTGCAGTATGACCAGTTTTGATATGAAAATCCCTATTACTACTGATCATTCGTTCAAAACTCAAAAGCAGGGAAAATTCATCTTGCAAATTTAGTAGGGTAACAGCAAAATATTAAGAAAATAGAATGACAAATAAATGATTTTCCAGAACATAAAAATACAAAACAGACATAATTATGTGCTCTCTTTGTGCCTCAGCAAAATATTAAGAAATAGTATGAGAAATAATGATTTTCCATAACATGAAATAGCAGACTTATTTGTTTAATGTGTGCTTCAATTTTGTGTTATTTCGATACCCTTCATTTCACAGATTGCCTCAGTTCAGTATCTATTGTTGACTTTGCATAAAGCTATTTACCATATTTCAAAGTATGACCCTTATGCAAAAATGAGCCGCGTCACAACAAAACCAACATAATGGGTTTGCAACCAGCATGGATCCAGACCAGCCTGCGCATCCTGTTCGCTTACAGACCCTATAACAAGTAAAGAAACTGATAGCGAACAGCATGGATCCTGATCAGACTGGTCTGTAAGCGAACAGGATGCGCAGGCTGGTCTGGATCCATGCTGGTAGCAAACCCAATATGTTGGTTTTGGCGTGACGCGGCTCAAATGTTTTTGTTATACGTTGTCATGTCATTTCATTGTTACAGACCAGCTCCGACCTACCAGACTGGTACAACCAGGAAGTATTATAATGCAAGAACGGAAACTGTACGATCATGTTCACCAGAGGCTATAGAATGGGCCAAAGCTATGCTTAATCCAGATATAAATGTAAAATTTAAGTTTTACCATATAACCTTGATTTTATAGTATGGAAAATTATTTGTTTAAGATTTTATATTTGAGGATCAGTTTGTAAAGCATTAAATTTTGAGATTGTTCTCTTTTTAGTTCCTGTCACTTAAAAAATTATTTTATATTCTTTATTTTTTCAGATAAAATCTTCATTTACGAAGTTTATTTTATTTTTCTTACAGAACAGAACAAAAGTTGCATTATATAGACAAGCAGCTGATAAACACAACAAATTAATGGCAGAGGCTACAGAAAATCAAGGTATATATAGCATTTTATAAATTTTGTATGCAGATAAAACCCTTAACCTACTGGCTGCTACTAATCAATTCATGCTACCAGTGCAGATCAGGATCCGCGAGCATCTGTACCTGTCTGATCTTTGTGTGCACTGTTTGTTATTCAATCAGTAAAGATTCTTAAATATTTCCCTAGAAACAGACCAATACAGATCAAACATTGACAAGTCTCTTTCAGATATTTAGCTTGGTTTTTGTGTTCAATTTCATATCTGTGTTGATTTACTGTCACTTTACCATTTATTTAATGCCTTTCTATGACAATACCATCTTTTCATTATCGTATGCATTTATCTTCTATAATTTATCTTATATAACTATAACAGTACATGTACATTTAAAAAAAAACATACATGTACCTTGATTACAAGTTTTGTGACTTTTGCCTCATTTTATCATGTATATTAATTTTGACAGGTTGTGACCGACACTTGTTTGGCCTTCAAATTCTGGCAGTTGAAGGAGGACTACCAATGCCTCAGATATTTACAGATCCAGCATATACCAAAAGGTAAAACAGTGTGTTAATAGTACTCACCACATTAAAGGAGTTCCACTGAGGTCAAAAAGCCTAAAAGCATGAAATTTGAAGTTCTTAGCCTGATTTGAGTGAAAAACTTTGCAAGGCTTTTCATTTTTTGATCATTTTATACAATAAGAAAAGATTATTCTGGAAAAATGGGATGAGGGAATGATCGGAAAATTTGCAGACAAGTTATTGGTCCGAACCTCAATCAAATGATGTTCAAATCTTGGGAAAAATATTTCTAGTCCTGTCATGTCAAAAAACCTCGGTAAATTTTACATTAGAAAAAAATATGATTTATTTGCTATTCTATTGACATCCTGAATTTAATGACTTTATTAAAAGTAAACTTAGTTTATCAGATTTTTTTCTTCCTTTCAGTGGTAGTGGTGGGAATTTTGTGTTGTCAACTAGTTTCGTTGGCTACACACCAGTGTATGGTGGTGTGGTACCCATGGTTGAACATGGCTATGGCACATTCTATAAGATCGAGCAAGACTGGTATGGTTTTAATTAGTTATTTTCACGTCTTTACTTCATCACTAAAGATACAAGATTTTTTATAAAAAAAACAAGATTTACAGTAACATAATACATTTTGTACTATTGATTATCTACCAATAACAGTACAGGTTTTAATATTTATGCATAAAGATAAATGGAAAATTTGTAAAAAGGTAAAATAGAATAAGCAAATGTAGTCTAAACATCAAGCATAATTATGAAAATTTAATGTTTCATGCATATTTATTAAATGTTTGGATAAAATAACACTATTTATTATCTACCAGTAACAGCGCCAATGGCAATATTTATGCATAAGATGAATGGAAATATTTGTAAACAGGTGAAACGAAACAAGCAAATGTATTTAAAATATAAAATGTACAGTTATTATTAATTGTTTCATGCATATTTATCAGGTGTTAGTTACAATCTAGTATTTTGGTTAATAGGTATATTGATTACATTTGTTTTACATGTAATTATGTATTGTTTTTATCAATATTTGTAATACACAATGTACTTATGTGCCCATTGTAGACCAATCCACTTTAAGCATAAGAACTCTTTACTTCCCCTTATATGACTGAAGGGGCGTCCGTGGCCGAGTGGTTAAGGTTGTTGACTTCAAACCACATGCCCCTCACCGCTGTGGGTTTGAATCCCGACAGGGACTTTGGATTCTTTCATGTGAGGAAGCTATCCAGATTGCTTACGGAACATCGGTGGTTCTACTCAGGTGCCCGGTTGTGCCTGAAAAAATGCACGGAGGGGCATCTGAGGTCTTCCTCCACCAGTAAAGCTGGAATGCCGCCAAATGACCTATACTGTGTCGGTGTGACGTAAAACCCAAATCAAAAAAAATAAAAGAAAAAAAAAAAACTATGGCTGAAATCCATGAAATACAGGACAGAAAAATGTGTTTGTATTATTTCGCATACAAGTTAGGGGCATTTTCGCTTTGAAAACATACCTCTTGTTCTATAAGAAAAATTTTAATCAATTATTTGTTGTTGTTTTTTTTTTCAGTATTTCAATGTTTGTGTCGGCGTGGAAGTCTTGTAGTCAGACTAACGCTGTAGAGTTCGGCAATATGATTCAAGAGTGTCTGAACGAGACCGGAGCCCTGCTTGCGGAAACAGAAAAACTAGCTAGGCTTTAAGGTAGCAGCTTCAATGGTGGCTATGTGCAAGTGTTCTGTTACTAAATATAGAACATGTTCTGATTCTAAATTTAGAACATGTGTATGCAGTTTATGCGATAACTTTTTGTGATACAATTGCTATGTATATACATATACATGACCTGTTATAAACAGAAAAGGATTTTGGTAGTTTAGTATGAAATGGGGAAAAAAGTGCTCAAAGAAGACTAATTAAAATTATTATGGTAATTTTTATGTGATTTTATTTTTTAAAATGTATTTTGTTTTAATTTCTTTTCATATTATATATGTATGGGACACCATTGTCATTTTTTTATAGGGCATATTATATTATACATGTTTATCAGTAAAAGAAATGTACTGTGTTCACTTAATTTCATAATCCATTAAAAGTTAAAAGGTTAAAAAAATATATGCAATACATACAAAATATACAACGAAAATGATAATAAAGTTAATTGATTATATGAAAAGTTAAGTTTATCTGATTTGCATATTAAGTAATCTAGGAGTAAAGTGATTATCTCAAAAGTTAAGGTTATCTTATTTGCATATTAAGTATTTTAGTAGAATCAGAGACTTTTATTACAGATAATATAAAGCTCTGCTTAATTTCCATACTAAATACAAGTGTAGTTGCTTATTTGGAACTTTGCATTTTAAAATAAGTTATAGAGATTTTAATTTGAAAGTGATAGAGTTTGACAGGCAATAGTTTATTTCCTGGTCAGATACATACAGTGTAGGTGTGTATGTTGAATGAATGAGTCATATTTATCCCGTGCTGGTAAAATTTATATATCCTAGTACTGCAAAGTTACCTCCCTTTTATAAAATTCACCATTTGCACTACACTATTTATCTTTTAGAGCTTTGAGCTTTTCAAAATATATGTAGCTATATGTAACTGTAGTTTTAGATTTTGATTTTTAATAGTTATTTCATAAAAACTATTATATTTTTTAATTTATTCATATACATGAATATCTCTAAATTAGCGTTGTCAAATGAATTAGAGTTAATATTCAATTTATAGTTATTCATTATTCTTACTGAATTTGGATTCAATGAATTTGATAATTTGAGATATAAATGTATATGCTTCACTACACAGTAATACATTCATCTTAAAATTATAATTCTTATTGACATTAACTGAATGACCAAAATTTCATGTCAACATTTTTAATGTCCTTCAGTAATATGTCAAAATGATATGCTTTGTACCTTTATTAAAATTAGAGACTAAATTTTCTTTCCTATTCTCAGTTACTTAATTGTCATTAAAGTGAGTCATGACATATGCTTTGGGTGGGGGAATAATAATTCCACAGATTTGCTTGTTTGAGCGTTTATGTGTGTAAAAAGATATAGATTGCATCATGTATACATGTCAACTTATATAAGAGAAATTGAATGTTGATCCCTGTGAATTACATTATTTTAAAAATCTACTTCATTTTATTTTGTCAATTTATGTTGAGAATTTTTAAACTTAGACAACAAATCAATGCAATGATTTTATAAACTTACATATATATATTATTATGATTTAATGCGAATAAACTTCAATGAAAAATCTCATGTGTTTATTTATTTCTATTTACCTGATAGAGCATCTTACTTTTCTTATCAGGAATTTAATTACTATCCATGATACTGTATAGTGGAATTTTTGATTTGGAATAATCCATTATTAGTGTAGGGGTTTTCATATCAAAATACAAATGTGCTCAGTAGTATAGATGCACGGTTCACATTTCCAACAGCCCTTTGGCTCGATAATGGCACGGCAGTTGCATGTCTAGTGCTCCATTTCCGTGAAGCATTACAAGGAACCAGAAACGTGAAAATCGTGCAGTTTTTATAAAAGGGACTACACAGAATTTCTTCAGTTTTCGCACGATACATGTAATAAACATTGAAAATTTGTCATACTAAAAATAGCACGAACTGCGCACGTGAAAGTCATGCAGTTTTCATGACGGGACTGCACAGAATTTGTTCAGATTTCGTACGATGCATTTTATCACCATTGGTCGTACAAAAATGTTTCGTTTATTATCAAATCTATGAATACGCACATAAAGTCAAATATGTATTCGAATAGAAACATCTTCTTCATGTTAAACGCTCGCAACACGCGTTTTATATTTGGCATTTTCTCATTGGCAAGATGTACGCTACCGATCTGACTTGTTTAAAATGCTACTTTTATAATATATGTCCCAAAAACGAAAGTCTGCTAACATTTTTTTTGCATTTCCACCACTGACACTATACAAATGTTACAATGTATGCCGACTCTAGATCGCTCTGTTTGAAACGCATTTGTAATTTCTATGACTTGAAACGGTATGTGACGAACGCAGAACTTTGACTCGTACAAACACAGGTACTGTTTGGTATATAAACAATTAAGCTGGGTAACATGCGCAAGCAAAGATTCACGGCAATTGGCGTCAATGATTGAATATAAAGAAATGAAGCTCTACCTATACCTCAATATACAAGTTAAAATGTCGGGGAATATATTTATAAATGGATGCACGTGAATCTACCGCGTGTCTAATGCTGTTTTTATTTATTTTTGAACTTTCACCCTTCTACGTAAAGTTTGATGATATAGAACATTCAGTAGCTCGTTGGTTAATTTTGATATACAACTGCTCAATCTCCGTGCAGCAGAACTCGTGGAAGACGTGCAATTTCTATTTGTGGAATGTCAATACGAGGATGATAGTATTTTTGCAATACGAGTCATACAGTAAGTTCTTGAGTTCGGAAAAAGTAAATGATATTATGACATATAAAATTGTTCTGGTGCTCAATGGTTCCAGATCACGATTGAAACGCATGCATGCACTCACTTGCAAAAGTGTTCATGTATATTTTGCATGCAAATCTCTTTTAATAAGAGAATTATAAACTCTTCAAATATTGCATTATTATTTTTTTTAATAGATCTATTGCTTCTTGTTCAAACCTCTGAAAGGGTTCTGGACGTATTCATATTTTTTTCTAGATCTTCTGAACCATTACATGTAGAGTAAGCTAACCTAACGCAATATAAATTAAGAACAAGAATCCTTTACAAAAGACAGTACTATTAGATCTACAGTTTCAATTTTTATCAACTCTTAATCGATATAATTTTCCTTCAATTTTATGATAAATATGCGTTCACATTTCATGAAAAATTCAAAAATAAAAACAAAACATCAGGCTTATTCGGCTGTTAAATAAAAGTTCGCTTCAGGAATATTTGAATAGTCAATATTAAAACTTTAAAATATCCCGTACAGTAATGAATGTCCGTAAAGTTTACGGGGACGGCGGAAATTCATAATGAGGTATGATGTCATTACCCACAATGCTTTTTTGCTAATGGAGGACAGGAGGCAGAATATTTGATGATGTTTTCCGATACTTCAAGATTTTGACAGCTATAAGCATTTTTAGATTAGATTTTTAATTAAAAATACCCTCCATTGTTGTCACGGCAAAGTTTAAGCTCTAAATAATTTACAAAGGACTTGAATATATTCATAGATTTTTCAAAATCGCTGGAAATTTTGTTCACAAAACTCAAAAATGTCGTGTTGACGTGAAAAATTATAGGCAGGAATTAAATGTTTTCTCTCTAATGCGAGAGATTTTTCCTTTTTTTTTGATAAGTTAGGAGATTATAGCAATGTCTGAACCAACTAATCCCGCAGACGAGACCATTAAGGTCGTTTGTCGTGTGCGTCCTCTGAACAGCTCAGAAGAGAAGGCCGGGAGCAAATTTGTGTTGAAGTTTCCTTCAGATGAAACTATATCATGTGGTGTAAGTATAATACAGCATGATGTATCTGCATATATTACAGCCATGCACAGAAACCTAGCATTGATTGCTTTTTTATTTTAATTTTTTTATTTGACCTCCAACTTGAATAATATGAAATTAGGCAAAGCCTATGAACGGGGAAGTCGGTAAAAAATCCTTTCATTTTTCCGTTTTAAAGGTGTCATTCGGTATTATATGTACCCACTTCCGTTTTCACTCGGAACACTCGACGATTATTATTAATCCGAAAAGTTGAGATATGTTACGTTATCGGAATACACCGCCTTTTATCATTGAGTTACATTGTAAATGGCGGCGCCTATCTAGGTATTGATAGGTATAGAACTCTATATATTTTTTAATTGTTTTTTATTTGATTTTTTTTTAAATATACACGTGTAGTCTATAGCCGGGCAAGCCAAAGCCCGGGCCCGCTTTGCGGGCCCGGACTTTGACTTCCCCGTATTATTTGATTATCCTCAGACTCAGAGATGAAGAGTTGTCTAGAAGGTAATCGTCTAGAACATGCACAATAGACCTCATAATTTATACTTGTACTGTTGGAGGAATAAAATGGCGAATTAATTTTTATGGTTTTCAAAGCATGATTATAGTATCAGAGCTGATTTTTAAATGAAGTCTTTTTACATGAATTTATATTATAATCTTATCTAAAATTGTTGCATCTTGTTTTTAAATATTTATGTACTGTGTTTATATTTTTTGCATTATTATCATCATCTTTAGTAATTGCCTCAATCTTCATAGAGCATAATCACGATGAAATTAATTCTATAATGATATTTTCAATAAAGAACTTAAATGTCTTTCAACATAAATAAATGAAGTGGTTATGCATATTTTATTGTTGATGTTGACGTTGCTGATGTCTTACAGTGTTATTGTTCTGAAGTAAAGCAGAATGTTCTGCAGTAATGTAAAAAAAATTAGGAAGTGGCTAGCCATATGGGCCCGTACTGTAGTCTGCTAGCCAAAGGTTCTAGCCGTACACAAGTCGCGCAACTTGATAGTGATTTGTCACCTCATCCTTCACACTCATTAAATATAGGTTTGACTTTGACTGAAACCAGCAAAGCCGTGTGTTATTTTCTGTTTATTTTAGGTAATTTACATCTAGGGTATTATGCCTGCCAATTCTTTACTGATAGGGGTTAGTGGGTTAGGCTGTAAGTTAGCCTTGTTAATTAGGAATAATTTTATAAAAATAAATCACCATTAGAAATTAAGTTGGGACACCATTAACCCTTCTCTGTCAGAGGGTTGGGGAAGGGGAAACAAATGACCACTGGCGTATAATTCATTGGTTATGAAAAGAAATTCTCATGTAAATATATCACTGCAATCAGATGAACTTATTTTAAATATTTTTATCATATTTTGAATATACTGAATGTATCTGAAACACTTTACACAAGTTTTAGTTTATAATTCCTTAACTTCAGTTAAATGATATTGAAATTTATGAATGCAGTGGTGATGTTGATTTTCTTTGCACATGGAAAATGTGATTTTTCAAAAAAATTATATGTATTTTGGAAATTTCATATTGAAACATTTCCTCAATCATTTGTGTGTACTTTCTTATTTATGTGCACATGAAAAATGAGTTTTTGTAACTTTAAGAATATATGTATACATGCATTTGAAATTTTAAATCGAAATATTTCCTCATTCATTTAAATTAACAAGTGTGTACTTTCTTCTCTTTATCCTGGTAGATTTTCAAACATTTTAGAGAACACAAGTCTTTAGTTTTACTTTTTATTGCAAAATTATACTTTCAATGCCTCTTTCAGTAGCACAAAGCCCCTAAGGGAAAAATATTTGCTATGCTAATTAATTAATCAGCTTTTTGTTGTCTAAGGTTTGTTTTTGTGTGTTTTTATGTAACATATATACAAGATCTTATGTTAGTTTTCATATCAAGTATACTTATATTACACGAGTCTGGTAAAGGTTATAAAGTAAGCTGATGCTGAACTTAATAACATTTCTTGAACCATTCCAATATAAGTTTATATGTGAAATGACAACAAATTTAAGATTCTTTAAATCACATGATATTATAAAGAAGAAAAAATATCACCCATTGAGAGGGCATTTTATTGTTAAAAATTTGAAGTACATAAAGAAATGCCACATGTGTAATGCTTAAAATTATTACATTGAAAACCAGTAGCATCATATTGTATAAATGGCAGGGTGTCTGTGGCCAAGTGGGTAAGTTTGACTTCAAACCACTTGCCCCTCACTGCTGTTGGTTCGAATTCCTACAGAGACTTCAGATTCTTTCGTGTGAAGAAGCTATCCAGTTAGCTTACAGAATATTGGTAGTTCTACTCAGGTGCCCTTTCTTGCCTGAAGTAATGCACAGAAGGGCACCTGAGGTCTGCCTCCACCAGTAAAGCTGGAATGTCGCCATATGGCCTATACTATGTTGGTGTGATGTAAAAAAACAAATATGTAAAAAAAAATCATGAAAATGTCCAAATGACATTTTAAATGGAATATAAATGGGTGATATTAAATAAAGAAATGCACTGTTACAATGCCTATTTTACCCGAGAACAAGTGACAACATGTGATATACACTGTAAAACTACTGCTCTAACACATAGCTTCATTATTTGCATACACTTGTGTAGATGTGTTTTTTCTACTTTTGCTTTGATGTTTTCAGGGTCTTGGATCAGAAGGACGTGGGCCAGTGAGTTCTAGTCTTATATCAAATTAACATAATTATATATGGGGAGGAAAAAAACAATGCAAGCTTGCTGCGTTTGCTAGACAAAGTTTTTTTTCAGTGAAAACATAATTTTTTGTTTCAGTTCGTACGAACTTGATAAAACCTTACTTAGAGTACAGTTTCTAAAGGCTGTTAACTTTTTCGTATATAACGCTGTTAATGAAGATTAAATCATCAACTTTTACACGACTGTACACTATACAAAAAATTATAAATATTGTAGATTCATACGAAGTGTGGCTCGAGAATTCATGAGTCACTAAATCTAACACAAGTTTACAAATTTACTTTGAATTTTTAACTTTTTTGAGTAGTTGCATGAACTAAACTGATATGGCATTGATTCTTACTGACTCTGTAGTTTTATTTTCATGAATAGTAGAATTTAAAGATCTAGTTGGATCATTTATGCTATTTTCAAATTTTTGGCTAGCAGCTTTGCATTGTACATAGGGGTTGAATTTTTGGTGTTAGTTTTCATAGCTTTATTATTATACAAAGTTGTATTCAGTGTATTCTTTTCTGTTATGTATAGTTTTTTAGCTTGAATTCTTGTTTTATCTTTTATTTTAACAGGCACACCTCAGTTTTGATAGATCCCTTTGAGTTTGAAGCTATATTTTCAGTTCATGCAGTTATGTATATTTGCTTAAATTTAAGCTTATGATAAAATTAGAATCTAAATCATGACATGGTTTAATTTCTGCTTATTCTAGCACAATTATTTTACATAAATCATTATTGTTTTCTTGTTCTTTTAATAAAAAAGAAAAGAAAGAGGGTTTTACTAGATTTAGTCTGCCTTGTGATATCAATGTGAGTTACACAGTTTAGTCTCTCATAATATTTATATAAGAACATTGAGGGGGAAAAAGACAATTTTGCTGTAATTGGGACAGGTCTATGTACAAATTGGGAATGGTCCAGTTAAGATTGGGAAAGGTCTGTTTACCTGACCTGTGAAAGAAAGGATAAAATAACTCTGATTCGAGTATTTTATTGGTTCTTGTACAAAAAAAGTTTTATGCAAGTCTTGAAATGCATCTTTAAGTGGGTTTGGTCTCCGATATTGAAGTGATCACTTGTGGAACTCTTCAGTTTTAGTAAATTTTTAGCTCGACATTTTTTGAAGAAAAAGGGAACTATTATTCTGACTCAGATGCTGCCACATGTTTTTGCTTGCAAGTTGATATTTCCTAAATTAGTGAATATGACATTAATGCCCTGTTAAGACATTGGGGATATAACATTGTTTGTGTCTTTATTAATTCTTATAGGGATCTGTCACACCTGAGCTAACAAAGTATTTAGTCAGCACATATATTACATGTATAAATTAAATAAATGTATGAGAACTTGTAGATCTGTCTAATTATAATGCAGGGTTACTTCATTCACAAATATGTCTAATAGCATTCACAAATATGTTTACTAGCTGCATGTTTAACTTTAAAAGTCACTTTGCATGATCTAAGCTAAAATTTCAAAAAAATGCCCTAGCTAGCAACAGTTAACAGTCTTTTCTTTTTTTGACCTGCAGTTTTGGATAAGCACCTTTTGGTCAAAGTTTTTGATATTGGTATCTGATTTAGCTTAAATCTGTAAAAATACCCTAGCTAGCAAAAAGTAGCATAGATTTATATTTTTTGACCTGCTGGTTTGGGGGTAAAATTTTGATATTGGTATCTGATGGGGAAAATAATACAGTACAAGAATGAATAGTTACTATTAGTATGATTCATAGAATACAATACATGATATAAGTACATGAAATAAAAGGATGGTAAGGTGACCAAAATAAGTTGCCTAAAAGCAAACAGTCATTATGTAAGCTAGTCATTTATGGATAGGTAATTTTGAATTGCATTTCCTCTGTCAGTCTGTATGCAATGCCAAAATGTTCAATATAAATAATGACTAGTTTGTTTCTTATTTAGTTTAAGTATCAATGCATAGGTACATCATCATTTTTTCAGGCTTTTGCTGGAGTTCATGGTTTTTGTACTCCTGAAAACTGTTTTGTTTTTTTTTTGGTATAAAACTAATTCAAATGATACTAAGTGCAGAGTTTCAGGTTTTCTGATATTTATTAATGACAAGCACCCATGATAATGTAATGTTCCCTGGCAAATACAATGTAGATACATGTATCATAATGATTTATTGAATGCTTTTCGGTGGCTTATAGAAATATTCAATTTGATAATTTCACTGTTTTGATTATTTGAGCCCGTTACGTTGTTTCAGTGAAATACAAGCGTTCACAGTACTGGAAACCAACTTAATGACGTGACATCGTAAATGACATCACGTTGTATTATTATTTGGCGCCCTTTTCAACTAGTACTAGGTTAAAATGTCTTTTTAAACATTTCTTTGCATATAATAAAAAGAAAATTTGTTTAGTTTAATCTAATGTTATTTGTTCACCTTGTGAACACCAAAAGTTCATATTTCACTCGTGGCTGTGCCACTCGTGAAATATACCTTTTGGTGCTCACTCAGTGAATATATTTCGATCTTACACTGAACTTAACAAATATCCTCTATATATTCTTGTCAGTTTTGGAAATCAACAATTTCTTTGCTAGAACTAGTAGTTCAACTACTGTGTAAGATTTCTGTTCTTGAATTGTATTTAGATAATTATATTCAGTAAAGAAACTATCAAAAGAATATTAATTTTGTCATTCTGTGTAGAAAGACATTTCTAGCAGGTTTTTGTCTCAATAGGGCAGTGGCCAGAACTGTTCAAAATAGAGCCGTCTGTTTGGTCAGATCAGATAATTGTTATCTGTAGTCTAAGATTGATTCCTTTTATTGGCACAGTGTTCTGTAGCACTGCAATTGTTTATTATAATCATTACAATACATCTAGCAGACAGTGTTTGAAAAAGTAGACTCCTAAAACGATGTTTGGGTTTACCGTTTAGCTTTAGTATAATCAACGTCTGGAATATTTTCAAATCTATGTGATTAGCAAATGCTACAATTCAGCAATATTTTAATATTTTTACCTTAGAAATTGATGAGGGACAGCTACTTATTACTTTCAATGTAGGGATGTCCCTCTTTTTCAAGGCAGCATTGTTTAATGATTCCTTAATGATTTGTCGGAAATAAATTTAGGTTAATATTTCTAATCAAACCACAGTTCAACTTCTTATTTTCAATTTTTCTTTGCATCTCTTATTTTCAATTTTTCTTGCCATACAAAACATTTATCGCCATTTCCATAAAATGTCTTAAGGTATTTTGCCAGTGATATAAATTTACTCATGATATTGATCTGTTAATCTGTCTGCTGTTGCTAAGGTATATAAAAGACCAAGTTGCATATTTGATCTTCTATTGCGTAATACGGTGATATCTGGACGCAAGGTGATCAATGATTTATTCTGCAAGAAATGTAATTAAAGACAGGCTGATATTATATGTTTGACATTAATCATCCAGTTCTGTAAATGTTGTTTCCTTGTTTTGTTAGGAAATTGGATTTTTGCGATCAAATGATGTTAGATTTGATTTTGTCAATATAATAAATGTCACTGTTTTCTTATGGCTGTAGCCTGTGGGTTTGAATCCCTGGTTCCCATCTGTGTCTTTGGATTCAATCCATTCCCAGAATCTGTGAGGAAATTATCCAGCTAGCTTATAAATGGAAGGTCAGCAGATCTTTCCTTGGTTGCCTTCTTGTACCTTCTGTAATAATGCACAATAAGTCACCTGAGGTGTTGTTGTGACTTAAAAAACCCATAAAATACAGTTAACAACTGTTTACAAAATAGAGTTTTGATCATTGTGAAATCTTAAATTTTCCTACTAAGTTCTTGTATGATTGTATGACAGCACATGTTTACTGATTGACTATTCATTTATGGATCATTCTTTGCACGATATAGCCTGGAAAATGGCCCCTGATGTAGAAGGAAATAAAACAACGCCCTGACTGATAATACTGGTCCTTAAATCGTGTAAATCTTAAATGGGTTAAAAATAAGGCAACTGACACTTATTCAAATGAGGTAAATTGCAAATACAGAAGGAAAAAAGAATAAAATGTGCAAACTTATGGAAATGTAAAAAAATAATAGATTTTTATTGACTATTGTTCTAAAGAGAAATGTTTTTTATTGACTATTGTTTGGCTGTTAAATAGCTAAAACCCAGGATTAATCGTTTTCTATTTTCTGCGGAAAACATATAGGAGAACGCAGTTCAATATAAAGCTGCATACAACAATGTAGGCTTTATTGATCTGTCCAACATTAGTCAGACAAGTTTGCTATGGGAAATATTGGCCTTCGATTTCTCTCTTGGTGTTGAACTTTAATAGACTATCTCCCCACCACCATCACTAATCAATGAGAAGCATTTTACGTATTGCATACACCTATAAATAGACTGCATCTGCTATTTATTGTAGCGCATTAAGTTGTACTTTTAAAGGTTCGGTCAATTTTGTTTTTTTTGTTGATAATTGTTAGGAGGATGTTTGGTGTTGTTTGCCCTGTGGTTATTGTTTTAACATATGGTATTTTTTGATGCAGAACATTTTTTAAGACATCTAGATGTAAATTTTTCTATACAAAGCTTATATCATATGAATTATGGCTTGCAAACTTCCTGAATGTATTATTGATGAAGGCAAAAGTCATGCGTAGTGATATTTGGTTTATCTTGATGGAGCCTGCTTTTATGATATAAAAAAAGGTTAATGGCAGAGACACATGGTGCATTATTATAATATTATTGATTCAATTTTTTCAAGAAGGTAGATGGAATGTTAAGGTTTGGCTAAGCTATTTCTTAAGGCGAAAATTCGTTAATTCAAACATTAAGTCTTTTAAATAGAGATTGAGGCTGTAGATGGATTCCTAAGAGCAGATTTTATTTGTAGTTATCTCCCTTGTGTGTAATATAGTGTAGATGACCTCCCTTTGTTTCATTGATAGTTTGGTATTGGAAGTTTTCAAATTCATGTCCATAGGTTATAGTGCATGACATTGTTATCTTGTGTAGAGAATAGCTACAAATAACCATTGAGATATTATGAAAAAAAAGGGAGTGTGGATTTTTTCTAATGCTGCAGTACAAGTAAACTAGTAGTAAGCGCCATTTGCTGAATTCTGGATAACATCTGTTGGCATAGGAAACATAAATTGCAGATTATCTTATCTTTGTCTGCATATATGTTTTATTTCCTTTTAGAATACTATAAAACACATCAGGCCTTTCTTAAGAATTAAAAAAATCTGGCATAATGCACCTTTAAAACTACATACCTGTATATATTCTTGAATATTCATCATCTGTTTTGTACCCATATATATTTTCTATTTTAAACTTTAAAAGTGGTTGCATAAATTTATAATTATTCTTTTCTTTTATATTAGTGGAATTTTGACAAATGTGTCTAGTGGGGGATTTTAAAGTCACCTTAGTGCAGTTATGGGTTAAGTCTTTCTAAATTTAATCTTAGTTAACCTTGTTGCAGCATGCACTAAGGTGATGTTATGTGGTTTTAAAAAAAGGGGAAACCCCTAAAATTTAAAAACAAGTATGTCATATAGGATGAACTTTTTAGTCCCCTACCGGTTTAACCGGAGGGGACTTTAGGTTTACCCTCCGTCCGTCTGTCCGTCTGTCCGTCTGTCTGTCAGTCTGTCAGTCCGTCAGTCCGTCCGTCCACAAAACTGGATCCCGCGATAACGCAAAAAGTACTGAAAATATTTTTATGAAACTTGATATATGGATAGATGGCAGTATGGAGATTATGCACGTCTTTTTTTTTTCTTCCTATGTTGAAAATTCTGGTTGCTATGGCAACAAATAGGCTGAAATTATGGCAAATTTAACACATAAACTGGATCCAGTGATAACTCAAAAAGTACTGAAAATATTTTTATGAAACTTGAAATGTGGGTAGATGGCAGTCTGGAGATTATGCACATCTTTTTCTTTTCTTCCTATGTTGAAAATTCTGGTTGCTATGGCAACAAATAGCCTGAATTTCAAGATTTCTGATTTAAATTTTTCAGCTTTTTCACTATATGTTCTTTATTTCTTAAGGTGTTTACTTCAAACTTTAAATATAAGTTTCTGGTCATCAACCACATCATATGTGACAAGGTTTATAACTCTAGCACAAAAAATATCAGTATTACCTCCCTTGAACTTAGATTTTTATGGGAAAAAATGTTGTCTTTTTTAAATAACTTCTTTATTTCCTAATGTATCTACTTCAAACTTCATATATATGTTTCTTATTATCACTCAACATTTTTGAGAAGGTTAAATACTCTAGCAAGACTATTTCCAGAATTATGTCCCCCTTGAACTTAGATTTTTTTCGAGAAACTGGTATTTTCACTCCAACTTCTTCATTCCTTATAGGATTTACTTTAAAATCCCACATCGTAATAAGGTTGTATAAACATAATTTCCTTACTGAGCATGGAAACTTAACACATTACTGTGATATAGACAAACTTATTTATTATGTTTTGTGGTTGATATTTTCAAATACAGACTTCATCCTCAAATTCATTATAAATGGCAATACACAGGAGTGTATGACAATTAAAGAACTTTTTGAGGGACCGGTAGGGGACTACTGTATTGCCCGCAATACTATCAAATGCTTGTTTATCATGTTTTGCTAGTTATTAAGGTAAAATTAGTAAATCTGAAAAAAGATAAATAAAAGAATGATAAATCAGGTACAAAAATATATAGAATAGAATAATGAAAATCATTATTTCATTTTTTAAAACATATATACATAATCAATAAGTACACTGTAGTGCATCATATTATAATAACTATTTTAACAAAATTAAAAGTCAAATAAAATGTATGATAACATAAATTGTATCACAGCATGAAATAACCAAAATCTGTATATGAATGCATGGTAATATTTTAACTATTATACAATGTCATTTGAGCCGCGTCATGACAAAACCAACATAATGGGTTTGCGACCAGCATGGATTCAGACCAGCCTGCACAGTCTAATCAGGATCCATGCTGTTTGCTTACCAACTCTATTACAAGTTGAGAAACTGATAGCAAACAGCATGGATCCTGATCAGACTGCGCGAATGTGCAGGCTGGTCTGGATCCATGCTGGTCGCAAACGCACTATGTTGGTTTTGTCGTGACACGGCTCAATTATATTACTAATACTTATTGCAGCTCTTCTCAACAAAGAGGTGCAGTGTAAGTCAGTGCATGAGGTCATTAACAATTGTTATATATTTATATTAAAATTTGTTGACACTGGATGATATTTGCATAGAAGTAATTAAAACATTGTGTCACAGTGAATGTAAGTGGCGATAAAAGCAATTGAAAGCCTTGTTTGCGCTAAAAAATATAGCGACAGCTAGGTGAGGGTGAGTTAAGTCTGAAATCTGCATTGAATTTTAAATATGATAAACATTGTGAAGGTTAGTGGCAATAATAGCAATTGCAAAGCCTTTGCTGTGCCAAAAATACAGGGACAGCTTGGTGAGTTTAGTCTGAAATCTGTGCAGTCAGGGTTTTCATTTTTATCCCTGGCATAGATGCGTCAAAGAAAACAACCAGTTTTGCAAAGAGTCATGGGAGATATATTAATATACAGGCTGAATATACAACCAATTTTAACAGCATTTTAACCGATGACATGGATGGCCAATCTGTTAATAATAAAATATAATAATAAATTAATCCTAGGATATTTATATGGAAATCCTATAAATTGACAGTCCGGTTGATGTGCGTATTCTTAAAAAGTTACCTCAAAATATTTTGGCTCATCTGGAAATAAACAGCTTTAAAAGTGGGAACATATAAAATTATGACACCAAATTTTAGGGGGTGAAAGTTAAACATTGTGTAAAACGTATATTCAAAATTGACATGCAAATATTATCTAGTTTATGCTTTGTTTATTTCAGTTTTTTGTTCAAAGTTGTTTTGCTTCTATTTTCAATTTTGAATGTTTTTCTTTTTAATGGTTTAAACCTTTCAAATACATTCATTTATCATTATGCTTTACTGATTGATTATTCTTGTATAAGACTTAGTTAAATTTTGATCAGAATTTTCCCATCCATTATCATAATGATTTCTCACTAATTTATTCATTGATTCACTCACTCATTCAGCGATCACAGTTTTCAGTTGTGACCTTTTGTTTGACCTTTTATTCCTTTACATTTAAGCTTTTACATACTTTTAAAATCAGATGTTTAGTTTTGCTTATTCACATTTGGATACAATGACTTAACAGCAGGAGATGCCCTTTTCTTGATAAAATGTGTAAAGTTTAATAACCGAATATTTTTTCCCAGTCACCTCCCTTTGTAACTCAATCTGATATTGATTCCTAGCCCATTATTATTAACCGTTACCTTGCTTGCGGCCATTGAATCTACATGTATCCATGTGACCAGTGCAGAACCAAGATCAATGTACCAGTGCAAAACCAAGATAAATTTGTTTACTAGTGGTGTCCGACATTGGTCGGCATTATTTGCCACTCCTTAGAAAATATTTTGAAATTTTCTTTAAAAAAAGATAAATGGTTTTGTCCATATTGAAAGATAAATGGTTTTTGTCCAGATTGAAAGATGGACAAGTCCATTTAAGATATAAAGGATGGTTTTGGCTAATCAATTTATTAAATTTAGACTATATTTCATATGAAATCAAATATCATAGTCTTACATCACATTTCTGTTTTTGGTCAAGGCCATATTTGTAGCTGGAACCTGGTCAAGGTTAGAATATCAAAAGCAATAGGTTTTTTTTTTATCTCCCAAGATTCATCCAAGACAGGAATAACAACGTTTTATGCTCTTCCAGATATACCAAGGTTTCAATATCAGACTTTATTGATTACTAGAGACAATGTAAACATAACTTGGGAAATGTTTTGGAAGATTTTTTGCCGCTTGCGTGAAACCAACCCTATGCTGTTAAATCTCCTGCTGTCAAGTGGCTACGATTGCGTCAATCGTATAATTTGATGCATGTTTTATATTACAGATGAATTATCACTTCCTGAGTTTTTTCATGTATGGTAATTATTAATTGTTCATCATTTCTCCATTTCAGCAAAAAGTGTTTGCGTTTGATCGAGTGCTGAAGCCCACTGTCACCCAGGAATATGTCTACACAGTTGCTGCCAAACCAATTGTTGCGGGTAAAATTTCCTTCCTGAAATACATATACATGTAATGTCAGATTCCTTATTAACATTGCCATAGCCTCAGATTTCTTACTAACATATCCTGAGATTCCTTATTAACATAGCAAAATAACCTCAGATTTCTTACTAACATAGCCTCAGATTTCTTACTAACATATCCTCAGATTTCTTACTAACATAGCCTCAGATTTCTTACTAACATAGCCTCAGATTTCTTACTAACATAGCCTCAGATTTCTTACTAACATAGCCATATTTGGGAATAAAAGTTTAAACCATGTTGTTATTTGCTTATTTTGCAATTCTTAATGTAGAAGTCTATTTTTCTGTCTGGCTGTCGGTCTGTCTTTGCTCAGACCAAGATGTTTTTGTTAGACTGTTATGCAGTTTTCAAATAGCCTCAAACCTATTGTGGGTTCATGTTTTGAGACAACTGGCTGGTATGACTAATAGTGAAGTTTTTAAAGCATGAAATAAAATAAAAATTGTAAGAAACAAGTTTCCAGAAAAGCCAATATGCAGATTTGTTAGGATGTTAGCTGTACATTGTTACAATTTCAGTACACTGTAGCTATTTCAAATTTACAGTGTTACTATTTCAGATGTACACTTTTACTTTTTCAAATGTACAGTGTTACTATTTCAGATGTACAATGTTAATTTTTCAGATGTACACTGTTACTAGCTTAGATTTACTTACACTGTTACATTTTCAAATGCTGCTGCACTTAAACTGTTACTGATTAAGGTGTACTTACTCTGTTACTATTTCAGATGTACTCAGTGGGTACAATGGTACAATTTTTGCATACGGTCAGACGTCCTCCGGAAAGACACATACTATGGAAGGAGTGCTTGGCAATCAAGACCTACAGGGTATTATTCCTAGAATTGTACAGGATATATTCAACTATATTTATGGCATGGACGAAAATTTGGAATTCCATATAAAGGTAAATTTAAAGGCACATTATGCCTCGGAAACAATTTTTTTCCATTCTTTAGAAAGTGCAAATGTGAGTTTTGTAATGTTGAAATGATAGTTTTAGATCATGGTAGATGCTTATCACATGAAAAATATAGTGCTGGATGTGAAATAATTTGTCATAAAAGATGCAAAACATAGAAAAAGTAGTATTTCGACTGCTATACAAAATACTAAATCAGTATAATTGTATGAATTACCAAAAGGCAACAGAAGCAAAAGATGGTTCAGGTAATTGGCCAATGAAGAACTTTTTGGAAACTTAACAGGACACCTAAAATAAAAAGCTTTTGATAATTAAAAATAAAAGCATTACTGAGGCATAATGAATTTTTTTAGCTGTTTTAAGTGCCTTTTGAATAGTTGTTCTTGTTCCGGGGTAGGTTGGTTTTTCTACTGTTTTGAGATACATTTTTACATGTTGAAACACTTTTTAACAGTATTGTTTACTTTCAAAGTTTAAAAATAGGACTGTTTTGTAAGGTTTATTGGCTGAAATCTGGTTAAGTATTGTAAGGCTGAAGATGATAAAAAAGTGAAGATAAGATAAAAGCTCATTTAATGCAATGATAATGAAAAAAAAAAACTTGTCATAATCATAATGTATATACAAATTTATATAAGATATTTCTTCTGTAGAATAGTTACCAAGACTATCCGGCTTACTTGTGGAACGTCTGTGGTTCTACTTGGGTACCTGCTTGTGTTTGAAATAATGCATGGAGTGGTCCTCCACCAGTAAAGCTGAAAAGTCACCATTTGATCACCTCTACTATTTTGGATGGACATAAAAGCCAACAAAAAAACCCAAAAAACAACAAAAAACAAAACAAACAAGTAAAGAATGATATCAAGAGATAACTATGTTAAAACATTGAATTCTATTTCAGGTTTCTTACTTTGAGATCTACATGGACAAAATCAGAGATTTACTTGATGGTGAGTGCATGTTTTTTTTTCCCCTGTGCTAAGTCAGATTGATTAATAAGATTCTTATTTAATTAAAATTTGTACTATTAATCAGTATTAAATTTACTATTTAAATTTAATTCTTCATTTAAGTCATCATTCATGCTCCTGTTTTCATTGTCAAGTTGAGCTAATTGACTACATGTATACTGTATATATTTCGAAAGGTTCAGCTGATATTATAGTGATTGACCAAACAGTTAATAGGAAAATGTTTAGAATAAAAGATAATAAATCTGTCCCTGAAAATATAAAAAGACTGCCCCAAACTCTTTTTGGAAATGGATGTTACGTTATGTTTCTGATGGATAATTAAAGTTATATACAGAAATTTTCTTGGGCCACTTGATTATTTATTCCGTTTATGTAAAGGTAAATTATAAAATTAAAATGTATTATGGCTAATGTAAACTTATGTTGACATTAAATTTTCCCATTTGAAAATTTTCTTGGTTTTGGGCAAAATTACTTTTTGGAAGGGGAAAAAATGAAATTTAAATATCTATAGAAAAATGTTTTAGAAAAAAATTAACCCTTTTTTAAAATTTTCAAAAAACCAAACCCCAACTAATCTGCTAAAAAAGGGCCTTTGTTTGGTTTTTGATCATTTTTAAATATTTCACTTTTTTTCCATTAAAACCCATTCCCAAATACTGAAGTTGAAGTAATTTCCCAAATTTTTGGATTTGGTGCTTTTTTTTGTTTATACAAGTTTTTTAATTCGAAACAAAAAAAACAAAGAATAGATTAATATAGAGTTTGGTCAGCTTTTTTTTATGCCAGTTCCCCTTTTGATTTTGGGGTTAATTTGGCCCAAATTGAAGGGTTTTTGCCCCTTGACAGGACATTTGGACCCAATTAAAAAATTTTATGGCAATTTTTTTCCCAAAAGTTTTTTTTGTTTTTTGCCTTTTCGGATGGGCCATTTTAAATTTTGGCCCCCGCCCCCTTTTTTTCCTTTGTATCCATAGCTCTGTTCAGTTTAAAATATCCCTTTAGCTCGTTTAGCTTAAAAAGCGGGTTTTTGAAGTGTTTTTCATGTTTCTGACTTGGGTTTTATAATATTTTCCCTGTGGGAACTTTCGGGAAATTTCCCTTGGGGCATTTAAAGGGGTTTTCCAAAATTTTTTAATTCCCTTTGCAGTTTTTTTTTAAAAAAAATCTCATTTAAAAAAAAAAATTGTTGTAAATTTTCCCCTTAATTTTTTGGGCTTTAAAAATTTGGGTTTTTTTATTTCAAAATGGACATTTTCAGGGCTACAAAAAATTCTTAAATTTAAAAATTTAGTGAATTTTGTTTTCTGCAAAAAATGTTGCAAAATAGTCTTAGAGCAGACAAAATTAAATTTCATTAGATCTTAAATCGTGAATTGACCTATTCTAGAAAATCACACGAAAATAGTACCCAACAAATAATACTGATTTTGCAGTATGAATATTAAATAATTTTATAAATTGATTATAGGGAGCAACTGAAAGATTTGTGTCTAGTCCAGAAGAAGTAATGGAGACTATAGATGAAGGGAAATCTAATCGTCACGTAGCTGTAACTAGTGAGTATATCTCTTTATAATAATGCCACCTTCTAGTGGTGTCACAGTTTGCAAAAATGCTAAACGTTTAAACAGCGACTTTATAACTGTGTTAAACATTTAACACACAATACAATTGGATGCAATCAGATGAAAATACATTTAACTTTTTTTGGCTAAAACCCATTCAAACTGATAAACGTGACACCTCTAACACCTATTGTAGAAGTGATTAAAGTTCACAATGTGGAAAAGTTTGTGATTTTCGCAAATTCATATTATTTTCATAAGTTTCAACCAGCATAAAATTTTATCAGCCCAATTTGTATGTCTTTTGGTTACCAGGTGGATATTGGAGAACAAATGACATATAACAATTCTCGATTCTTAAAGTTAAATACATGATATGATTTATTTCAGATATGAATGAACATAGTAGTAGAAGTCATAGTGTGTTTTTAATCAATGTCAAACAAGAAAATACTGAAACACAGAAGAAACTTAGCGGTAAACTGTATCTAGTCGATTTAGCCGGTAGTGAAAAGGTAGGTACACGTTTTTATCATTATTTACATATTTTGGAGCATAGATGAGTGATTAAGGTGATTGACTTCAAACCACTTGCCCCTCACCACTGAGGGCTTCGAAACCTGACAGGCACTTTGGATTCTTTTATGTGCAAAAGCTATCCATTTAGCTGACACGAAACATCGGTGGTTCTGCTCAGGTGGGCATGAAATAATGCACAGAAGGGCACCTGATGTCTTCCTTCACCAGTAAAGCTGCAAAGTCGTTATATGACCTATACTGTGTTGGTATGACTTAAAAAACCCACCCTCCGTGGTCGAGGGGTTAGAGTCCGATGACTTCTAAATCCAGTTACCTCTCTGGCGTGGGTTTCGATCCCTGGGAGATGCTTTGGTAGTTTAGCGCGGAGGAAGGTAGTCTAGTACTGGTGTAACTCTCCAGGAACGATGGTTAGGAAACTACCCGCCTATATGACTGAAATACTGTTGGAAAAAGGCGTAAAATGAAACAAACAAAACAAACAATGACTTAAAACCCAATCAAACAAACAAACAATTTGTATATTTCTGAAATTTAGTCTTTTTATCACTGCACATTTATCATTCATGAAGAAAGACATATCTATGATTGTTGTTTCTACTGTATACAGGTCAGTAAAACAGGTGCGGAAGGTGCCGTGTTAGACGAGGCTAAGAACATCAACAAATCTCTGTCAGCTCTTGGAAACGTCATCTCAGCGCTAGCTGAAGGAAATGTAAGTTTTATGACTACAATATGGATTGATTCTTTCCTGATCAGATTGGTTATACATTATTATGTCACCCAAAATGTTTGGGAGACATTGTTTTTGCCTTCGCTGTCCATCTGGTTGTCCATCAGTCTGCATCAGGATTAGTGTTCTGTACCATCCCTAGTTGTGCATATCACGGCATGTTCCGCTTTGCTGCACAATATGGCCATCAGAGCTATAAATTGAAATTTCAAAGGTCAAGCTACTGGTGGCATTTTAATGAAACTTCACAAGAGTGACCATACATAGTTTTGCGAGACAGATGTTTTTAACAGAAAATTGAAATAAAAATGGTAGAAAGCAGGAACATTGTCCTATTACTTGGACCAGATTATTGTGCCTTTAAACCATTTGTATCAAAGCAAAATTAAATGATGGGTAATATATACACGAATGAATTATCTTACAGAAAAGTCACGTCCCCTACAGAGACAGTAAGTTGACTCGTATTTTACAAGAAAGTTTAGGAGGTAATGCAAGAACTACCATGATTATATGTTGTTCCCCGGCTTCTTATAACGAGTCGGAAACCAAGTCAACCCTTCTCTTTGGACAAAGGTAAGTTGTACAAGTTTACGTTTTTCAGGTAGCTTTATGTCATTTTTGAACTTGTAGGTAAAAAGTTAATAAATGTTACTTAGGGCAGTACCACTTGCCCCTCACCTCTGTGGGTTCGAATCCCGACAGGGACTTTGGATTCTTTCATGTGAGGAAGCTATCCAGCTAGCTTATGGAACGTCGGTGGTTCTACTCAGGAACCCGTTCGTGCCTGAAATAATGCACGGAAGGGCACCTGAGGTCTTCCTCCACCAGTAAAGCTGGAACGTCGCGATATGACCTATACTGTGTTGATGTGACGTAAAACCCGAAACAAACAAACAAACTTAGGGCAGTATTTGCTGAATAAGTTAATAAGCGTAACTAAGGGGAGTATTTGCTGGAAAATTGTTTTTTACCTAAATTTCTTTAATGATATGTAGCTAAAAAGCCAGATAATTACAGCAGAATAGTTATAATAAGTACTTGATCAGTGATTATCATTAATTATTTATCGGTAAATTATGTAGGTAATGCCAAAAAGACTGCTTATGGCTCAAATGTAATTTCGGGTGATCATTTGGTGAATTAAAAAAAAAAAGGAAAGAAAGAAAGAAGAAACAACAATTTAACAAACTTATATCCTATATATCTTGAAATAATATTCCTGCTACAAGAAGGTTGAAGATTATATCTTCAAATCTTCTTGTGGTCTGACATTCAAGCAGTTGAACTGTTTGCAATTTTTTACGTCCAGCATTATCATTAATTGACTTGAATTTTGTAAGATAGGTATAAATCATCTAGAATTGCAATATTTAAGGAAGATAACTCTTGCAGGTCCCGTTTCTTGAATTGCCTCCTATCATGCAATTGACATATTCGTTAATTTTACAGAGCCAAGACGATCAAGAACGTTGTAACTGTTAACGAAGAGTTGACGGCTGAAGAATGGAAAAGGCGATATGAGAAAGAGAAGGAGAAGAACAGCAAACTAAAGGTTATACTGGAGAAATTAGAGGCTGAGCTGAAGGCATGGAGAAGTGGTAAGAAAAAAGTCCAGGGCCCGAGCCGTAACTTTATAGTTTAAACAAATTTATTTTAGTTTGATTGTGTTGGAAGCTATAAGCTTATTGAAACACTCTCGAATCCGTTCCTGGATTCAACCAGTACTAGGCAATGGATGTAAAGTTTTTTGCTGAAGGAAACAACGGCTTGCCCTGACAGAGTTTGAACCCATGAACCTACGCAGTCAGCAATCCTTAGATTACTAGTCTGATGCATAAACCACTCGGCCACGCCTTAACTTTCATGTTTAATAGAGGCTTGATGGCATTTTCATTTATGTTGAGTTAATGGACATTAGAAAAAATGTAGAAAGTATGTAAATACTTCTGCTCTTGGTTGTTTGAAAAATGTCTTACATATTTTGGTTACTGCACAGAACTCTATCTTTTAGTGCTGTTTGAGGTCGATCCTTGGGCAAAGTGATGTTTTCTTTGACATTCGATCTCAGACATTGAATCTTATTGTCATTTGTAACTCACCACTGCTGTTATTTGTCTCCCATGGATGATTTAGAAATCATAATGGGACAAGTTAGTCCGTCTCTTGCCGAGAAATAGGTAATTACTGGTTAGTTGTCCAGGAAAGCTGTTAATGTGGACTTACCACAAAGATACGACCCAAATGTGTGTTGAAATCTGCGTTAAAAAACAAACAAACAAAAAACACCAAAAAAAACCCCAACAAACAAACAAACAAAATTATCATATCCACAAAATCTATTTACAAATATTCATCGCACATCTTACAGGTCAGTCTGTACCAGAGGATGAACAAATCGACATGAAGCGCTCCGTTACCGAGGAGACGCCCAATGCCACGCCCTCAACGTCAATGATTGGTAGTATTACAGGCAGTCTGGGTAACGTCAGTGAAGCGGACAAGCAAGCCTTTGAACAAGAAAAACTGAAACTTTATCAGCAGCTTGATGACAAGGTAACATGCACTGAAATGTTTGAATCCTATTTGGTCAGTATAAAAGGAAGAATTTTGTTTGTTTAAATGAGAAAGGTTATTCTCATTACAGTCAAAATTGGTCAGAAATACAACAAAATATTGCATACTAGTGTATATATGTGTTCAACTGAGGTACATGTTAAAGAGAAATAGCAACAAGCATTAAAACTCCTTGAATGTAGTAAAAACTCCTTGAATGTATTAAAATCTCTTTGAACATATCAAAAACTCCATGGAAGTAAGTGAAAATCCATGAACTTATCGTAAATTTTCCATGAATTTATCAAAGAACTATCTTATTATACCATGAGTTAATATTATTATTTTATATTACAGGATGAGGAGATAGATAAACAATCTCAGCTTATAGAGAAGATGGAACAACAAATGTTGGAACAGGAAGATTTGATCGCGCAAGCTAGAAAAGATAATGAAACTCTTCAACAGGTACTTGCTCTTGAATATCCCTTATGAAACTGTTCAACAGGTACTTGCTCTTGAATATCCCTTATGAAACTCTTCAATAGGTACATGCTGTTAAATATCCATAATGAAACTCTACAGTAGGTACTTGTTATAAAACCATAAACCTGCCGAATTAATGAAATGGATTTTGCCCTGGGTCTAATGTTATAAAGAAATTTTATAGTATAACTATTCAGCAAAGGTTATACTTGATTTAATTAATTATCATTTTAAGGAATAAGTTCGTATTTTTTTACCTGAACTTTGTAGAAATTTATCAGCTGTGCTTGATTCATTTTTGTTTTAATGAATTATCATTTTAAGGATTAAGTTCTTATATTGTCACTGAGCTTAATAGAAATATATCATGTGTGCTTGATTTATTTTTGTTTTAATATTCTAGGACATGCAAAGTATTTCCCAAGATAATGATTCCGCCAAGGATGAGATCAAACAGGTTTTGAACGCCCTCGAGGAGCTTGCCATGAACTACGATCAGAAAGAACTTGAGGTGGAGAATAAGAACAAGGAATATGATGTCCTCAATGAGGAACTGAACCAAAAAATTGTGAGTTTCTAAATAAAGATAACAAGTGTGATGCTTATTAAGAATGAAATGAAGTAATAGTGTGTAGAAATGGAGGGCAAAGGGAATGACCAGTTTTTTTCTTACAAATATATGTTTCTTAACAAAAAAACTTTGATATTTGTATCTTAACATAAAACTTTGATACTCAAATTTCTTAACATAAAACTTTGATCCCTGTGTTTCTTAACATAAAACTTTGATACGCGTGTTTCTTAACATAAAACTTTGATATTCGTTTATCTTAACATAAAAATTTGATATTTGTGTATCTTATTATAAAAATTTGATATTTTTGTTTCTTAACATAAAAATTTGAAATTCGTGTTTCTTAACATAAAAATTTCTATTTTAGGACCAGATCCTATGATTAATAATAATTCTTTATAAATGAAGCTTTATTTTTCAATATAGATATAATGATGCAAATCTTTAAATATGCGTCACATTTTATTTCAAGATAATACTTTAAGTTTTGTATAGACAACTAGATTGTATTTAGACATATTTATAAAATGACATGTTTATCTCTACAGAGCATACTTAACACCCTCCAGTCAGAGCTAGACAATGTGAAGGATTCCTCACTTCACCAACGTAAACGTAACACAGATATGATGATGTCACTACTCCGTGACCTTGGCGACATTGGAACAATCATCGGTGGGGATGCAATTGAAACCAAGGTTCGTATATTGAGGCAGTATCGTATATTAAGGCAGTATTGTAGTTGAGCTGCACATATTCTGTTAAACAAGATGAATTAAACTTAAATGATAGATAGGTTGATGATCAATTCATTTTCTCTCACTTAATTGATACATACTGCAACATCATAATTATTTATGGGGCACTAATTTTCGTGGTTTTCGTGGATAGGTTAATCCACTAAATTAAGATCCAACAAATTTTCTATTCGTCTTCTGTAAGATAATTTTTCATATAAACAATATTAACATTTAAATTTCTGGAAAAAATAAACAGTACACAAATTTAAGTACCCATGAAATTGTTCTTTGTGTGAAAACCACGAAATTTCATGTCCAAGAAATTAAGTGAATTCAATGTAATTGATATATTTTTCTAAAGTTTGATTCTTTTTAAAATAATTCAGTCACTCATAGTCACTTGAAAGCGTGCAAAACTGCAACAAAACTAAAAAGGTTTCAAGATTTTTTTTTCCTATTTCAGATGGCTACGGGTAATTCTGAGAAGATCGAGGAAGAGTTTACTGTTGCTCGTCTATACATTAGCAAGATGAAGACCGAGATCAAGTCACTGGTAACCAAGGCAACACAACTCGAGACTGTGGGTGCAGAAGCTAGCAAGAAGCTGGATGTGGCCGAGAAAGATTTGTCCGATTGTAAACTACTGATCATTCAGGTGAATTATTGTTTTAAAATGACCTTACAGTTTGAATAAGTGTGGTGTCTGTGGCCAATTTATGATGGTCACTGAGTTTGAATCAATGTGGTTTATCACAGGCATCATTTTGATTCTTTTCACAACATTAAAGAATTTTTATGTAAAGAAGTTATCCCAAACATTTTTTTATTCTTTTCATAAAAGATTTTTATGTAAAGAAGCTATTCCATCTTTGGAAGGTCACTGGCTTGACTTCAGTGACCGTTCCTGTTTAAAATAATGCACAGAGGGGCACATTATGTCTTTCACCACCATGAAAACTGGGAATTTTTCATATATGAACTTAATGTAGTTAAAATCCATCCATATAAAAAATAACTCATGTATGGAAGATTTGGCCATCATATGTATAAGCCTCATAAGATAAAGTTGTTGTTTAAAACTGTTGACTTATTAAGAGGTAGAATGTGTGGACTGAAAGCTCAGTCGGTAGGGTCATGATATGGTATTCCAAGGGTTGTCCCAGTTAGGCTGCACGTTTTTCTCATTCTGAAAAATTGTTAATAATTTACTTGCTTATTAACCTTACCCACTTAAATTACTTACTGATTTACTTAACTTACCTTACTTTCTTACTTTACCTTCAAAGAAATTGTTAATCTGACATTGGTAGATATGATTTTTTCAACCATTTATTTGTTCATTGTAGCATGAGGCAAAGATGAAATCTCTTCAAGAGACAATCCATGATGTAGAAGCCAAGAAGAGGCAACTTGAGGAGAATGTGGACAACTTGAATGAGAGGCTAGTCGCAGCATCAGCTGCAGGTAAACATATTGTCTTCTCACTTGGTTAAACTTGTTAGTTTAGTTTATACATATTTATTTTAGTTTGATTGTGTTGGAAGCTTAAAACTTATTGAAACATTCTAGAATTTGTTCCTGGAACCAACCAGTACTAAGTAAAGAATGTAAAGTTTCTTGCTCAAGGAAACAATGGCTTGCCCCTGATAGGGTTTGAACCCCCGCGGTTAAACCTTTTGCTGCCAGAGCTGTTAAATTAAGTGTACAACTAAGAGGTATATATGAATTAAAATGTATAAATAATGCAGGAATTTATTATAAACAGAAATTAATCAATTGATGCTCATGGAATGGAAAAATGAAAAAAAGTAATAAAAAAATTAAATCTTTTTCCAATGTTAAACCATAGATGTAGGGAAAATGTTATACATATCTGTAAATCACATTAAATATTTCAAACCTTGAAGATCACTATCAATAAAGATAATTTTTGAGTGAGGTGGATATACTCCTCTTGTAGGTAAAAAAGTTATTTGAGATATATTATTGGTTTCGGAAAAAAAATTGTCATATACAGGTACAATATATGTTCAGTAAACTCCACTTATAATGATTTCAGTTATAACAATATACCACTTATAACAATGCTTACTTATATCTTGAATGTTGTTTTCAAATAAGTTGCCCCTCAAATATAACGATATAAATTCAGCGGTCCCATGAATATGGTTATAAGCAGAGTTTCTGTCAGTTATGAGAAACTTACTTCAAACTTCTGCAGAAAGAAAAATAAAGCAGAGTCAACTCATATGTAATAATGATATGTCAATGTAACACCTAAAATATTATGTCGACATATTGAAAATATGAAAACTTTTCTTTTTGTTTCATTTTTCAGAACAAGTGCATGAATCTGCACAGAAAGATTTACAATCATCTGTTGAGATGCAGAGTTCCCTCGAGGCTAAACTCGAGGCCCATAGAGAACAACATCAGAAGCAGATATCTAGTCTACGAGACGAGATCGCCGTCAAACAGGCACACATGGATCAACTTAAAGAGTGAGTTAAATGTTTAAAATTTTTAGGGAACGATATTGACTTACATGTGCCAGCAGTAAAGTGGTGGGTCAGTGTGTATTTCCCAGCAGTCTGATCTGATCTGAAAATTAGACTGTTGGTAGCTTAATTTTAGTAATTTGTTAATTGATTAACCTGTAATTAACACAATGCAGTTCCAAATCAAAAACAAGTAATGACCGTCATACTTAAAGCTTACAGAATGTTTGTGGTTCTACTTAAGTGCCATTTTATGCCAGAAATAATACATGGAAGGGCTCCTTAGGCTTTCCTTCAACATAAAAGCTGGAAAGTCACCATATGACATACACTGTGTTGGTACGATGTAAAACCCAAACTAAAACACAAATACAAAATATAGAAAAGTTAGGCATAGATGTACAGTCAAAACAGAGCTGCAGGAAAGTATTGCAGTATGAAAGAATTAATATACAGTCTAACCCCGTTTATTCGAAGTGCCTGGGACTGAATATTTACTTCGAATAATCGATGGGTTCGAATAATCGAAATCCGAATATTGTGATAGACGAAAACTACGCAACTTTGACGAATCGTAGTAAAACTACCGTTTAAAACACATTTATTATCTGTAATCAATTGAGAAAAATAAATATTAAAGAAAAGATGCGTAAAAATTATTGTATTGACATTGAAGACATAAATACTTGCATTTTATTCTACATTATGTATCGCTTCGTTTCGCGCAAAACCTTGATAATGGCCGTGTTGTCACTACGGTATTTACAGCTAAACTCTGGTATTTTCCATTAGGAAAAAGGCTCTTATGTAGCGTTTTGGATGTTTTGACAAATTTACATATACGGTATGTATGAAAAATATTGCTGTCATCTTCAAGCAATAACAGTAACAAAATCGGACACGGTGCATTGCTTTTCATTTTCGGAAATTAAAGTTGATTAAAGAACACAAAAAGAGCTATTATCACGATTGTCTAAATACATGCATGACTATTGATGTTTTTCACAAGTCGACCAGTCAGCGAGTGGATCTGCGCCATTAAGTCTGACTTCGAATAATAATTAGGCTGGCTTCGAATAATAGGTGTGAAATTCTTTCATAATTGTATAGTCGGGACCGAAATTTTACTTCGAAAAATAGGAGGTATTCGGATAATGCATTTCGAATAATACGCTCGTATTTATATTGATTTATATAGAGATAAAAACGGGACCGTCGATCTACTTCGGATAATGCCGGGTATTCGAATAAAGGGTTGTCGAATAACGGGGTCGGACTGTATATGACTATATGACACAGGGTGGTGAAAAAATGTGCAGCCTGATTAGGTTTAAACTCAGGACCTTTGTAATACGGTTCTGTGACTGTACAAAATGTGCAATTTGGCCTCTTGAACATTTACCTACCTAATTAAAGACTTGTTCTATGCCATGACTTATTTGAAATCAGAAATTTCATTCTTAAGATTTTAACTGGTTCAGGATTTTTGTAGCATACTTACTTTACATACTGTGCAATATCAAAACATGTTTTCATAAAAATTTACACAAGAAGCAATCTTTTCTTATTCAAAGTATTAAATTCTCTTTATTCTGATTGGTAAATTATTTCCATCACAGCACCAACCAGAAGTTGAGTCTTGCCCTGGAGAAATTACAGGGTGATTACGACAAACTGAAACAAGATGAGACTGAGAAGAGTGCCAAATTGGCCGAACTCTCGCAACAGATTGACAGACGTGAACAAGCCGTCCTTGACCTTAAGGGACTTGAAGAAACTGTGGTATGTTCTCTCTACATTTTTATTGTCATTCATTTATTTAGAGAGAAAGTTATCTGTCTTACTTATGGATAGTCAACGGTTCTAACAGTTTATCCTGTACTTGCTTAAAGTGACATTATGTCCATCCAAGGGTATATAGTGAGTGAACGGGTGAAATAAAAAAAATTCCATTTTGCCATATCTTTTAATTCAATAAGTAAGTTCACATAAACAATAAATAATGCAGGGATCAGGGATCCAAATGAAATTTCTGTAAATATCCATTAGAATTTACCTATAATGCTAAGTTTACAAAAAGAGTGGGGCAGTCTTTTTATATTTTAGGCAGATTTATAATTTTATCCTAAACATTTTCCAATATCAACTGTTGGTCAATCACCATTTTGACAGTCAATCTTTTGAAATATATTGTCAATTCAACTCAACTTGACTATGAAAATATGAGCATAATGTTACTTTAAAATATTGTGTCATGTTATCTCTAAAGTCATCCATCATCCACTGTTATATTTTGAGAGCCCCTATATGATCATAGTAGAGTTTATGCAATTTTAAACATAGTCTTAAGCATATGTTAAATCTTTCTTTGTCTGCATATTTAACCTATCCAAACTGGTGTCTTATGAAGATAAGTGCTTGTTATCAAAGTTGAGGCAGTTTAAGCTCATTGTCTATCTAGGTTGAAATGCAGACATGGTAAGAGGAAAGCCCTGCTTAATGTTATTAAATAAATTTAAAAAAAACAAACAAAAAACCATTTTCCTTGAATGATTTGTTTATTTTGAATTTTCTATAATAGTACATAATTTTAGTAAATTTATTTTCTGTTTCAGGCCAAGGAGTTACAGACACTGCATAATTTGAGGAAACTGTTTGTACAAGATCTACAGAACAGAGTTAGAAAGGTATAATGATAATAATAGTGACTTTTCTTTTCCACCTGTGTAAAGCCAGTCAGCCTGCATGACAAACTTACAATATTTCAACTTAAATATGAAGTACTAAATATAATGAGAATATGCCCTATGATAATCACAGCATTATCACTTAAACTGTGGCGTAAGAGTGTGATAAAGCCATTTAATAAAAATTTAATAAGAATGATATTACACGACCAATGTTTGGGTTATAGAGTGTCAATGAAAAAATGATGCTATTTTACTGAAAAAGTTCCTTATTTTGTGTATGTAATAAATAGAATATAATATTCATGTAGGTTCATTACTAGATTTATTGAACTCGTTAAGATAAATAAAAATATTTTAATGTAGACGATGAAGAAAGGGGAAGATGACGATGATGACGTAGGTGGCAGTGCTGCACAGAAACAGAAGATCAGCTTCCTAGAAAATAACCTCGAACAACTCACCAAGGTCCATAAACAGGTTTGTTTTTACTGTGAATTCACTTAATTTTGTGGGCATGAAATTTCGTGGTTTTCTGGTTCTTAAATTTGTTGACTGTTTATTTTTGCAAAAGGTAAAATGTAAAAATGTGATGTAAAATAAAATCTTACAGCACACGGGGGAGGAAGTGTTACACGAAGGATGGAGTTCTTATGATAACTTGTTCAGGAGTTCTTGTGATAACTGTCACGGAGTTCGTCGGAAAACATCTGTATATACTACAAAAACACTCGTTAAAATGGTTATTTTCATGGTTATCATAAGAACTCTGTGACATCTTCAGAGTTATCACAAGAACTCTGGGACATTTGAAAACTCGGGTATAAATCTGTTAGCCGGTGCTTTATGATTGCAATTTTGCATTATAATTAGGTAATTATGTATTGCAATGATGAAGACCAGAAATAAACAGGTCAAAACTTGTGAATTGGCAAATAATTTGGAAATTTTACTGAAAACTATCAGATTTGAAGCAAGAGGCCATTAAAAATGGCATGTGAATTAGTTTTTGACACATAATACAAGATGTTAGACAAGCTTAATCATTAAAGTTTAATTTAGCATCTAAAACTCATTTTTGAAAGATGAAAATAACCATTTTTAACGAGTGTTTTTGTAGTATATACAGATGTTTTGTGACGAACTCCGTGACAGTTATCACAAGAACTCCTGAACAAGTTATCATAAGAACTCCATCCTTCGTGTAACACTTCCTCCCCCGTGCAGCAGATGAAATGAAATTTTGTAGGATCTAAAATTTGTGGCTTGACCTAACCACGAAAAACCACAAAAAAATTAGTGCCACACGAATAATAATGATTTTACAGTACTTCACTTTTTCTTGAACCTTAAGGCCTTATTTTCAACAACAACTTTTAAACAAGTTTGTAGTCCATACTTTTTCACATAAAAGAATAAACTTTCACGGATTTTAAGTTCATTTTGCTAAAAAAAACATTTAAAATACATTATCAATTGGATTCATATTTGATGTAAATTGTATCAAAATATTAAAGTTTGCCTACAATTGACTGATTAGTTATTATATGCCCTGAGTTAGGCAGTTTATATTTTAAACCCTTAATCTGCTTGCATTAACTGATTGACAGCCACTGTGACCAGTGTAGCCAAAGATCAACCGGCACATCCATGCCAACTGATCAAGTCTGCACTGTTTGCATTCCAAAGAGTACAAACTGTGAAATTTTCACTAAAAAATGATGAATGTTTTGTGTCCAGATTGAAGGATGGACAAGTTTATTTCATATATTTCGCATTGTGAGGATTAAGAAAGATTGACAAGTCCATTCAATATATTTAGCTATACGAGGGTTAAGATTCAGTAAACATTGCTTATATCTATTGTAGCTTGTCCGTGACAACGCTGACCTCAGATGTGAACTACCCAAATTAGAGAAACGTCTCCGAGCAACCATGGATAGAGTTAAGTCCCTTGAATCAGCTTTGAAGGACGCTAAAGAGGGAGCCATGAGAGATAGAAAACGGTATGTCCGTGGTTAATAAACTGTAGATTAGTCTTTTAATTTAAGGCTGTGTATGTTGATTAGAAATATAAAATTTTTGTTGTGATTGTATAGTTAGAAAAATTCAAGCACAATTTCCCCCCATACATTTGTAAAAATTTTATAGAGACAGTAATGTACAGAGAATGGTAAATTTGAAGACAGCAGGAAAATTATTATAGATTTTTATGTATTGTATAAACAAAGTGTGAATAGTGTTTTAGAATAAGTTCAAAATTTTAATCTAATTACCTCCCCTTATATTCTGTAATTTAATGGTAGGGTTATGTATGAAAACTTTTGGACTATATTATTATTGCATTGTTATTTAAATGTCATCATAACTTGATAGATAGGTTCATGTTTTCTTCTTTTTAGCTCACCTGTCACAAAGTGACAGGGTGAGCTTTTGTGATCGCTTTTCGTCCGGCGTCCGGCGTCCGTCCGGCGTCCGTCGTCCGTAAACTTTTACTTTAAATGACATCTCCTCATAAACCACAAGGCCAATTTCATCCAAACTTCACAGGAATGTTCCTTTGGTGGTCACCTTTAAAAATTGTTCAAAGAATTTAATTCCATGCAGAACTCTGGTTGCCATGGCAACCGAAAGAAAAAACTTTAAATATCTTCTTTAAAAAAACCATAAGAGCTAGAGCTTAGATATTTGGCATGAAACATCTTCTAGTGAGTGTCTACCAAGTTTGTTCAAATAAAAGCCCTGGGGTCAAAATTGGCCCCGCCCCGGGGGGTCATTGATTTTCCCTATATATGCATATAGTAAAAACTTAAAAAATCCTCTTTTAAAGAACTCAAAGAGCTATGGCTAAGATATTGAGCATCAAACATGTTCTAATAGGTGTCTACCAAGTTTGTTCAAAGAAAAGCCCTGGGGTCAAAATTGGCCCCGCCCAAGGGGGTCATTGATTTTCCCTATATGCATATAGTAAAAACTTAAAAAATCTTCTTTTAAAGAACCAAAAGAGTTAGAGCTAAGATATTTAGCATTAAACATGTTCTAATAAGTGTCTACCAAGTTTGTTCAAATAAAAGCCCTTGGGTCAAAATTGACCCCGCCCCGGGGGGTCATTGATTTTCCCTATATATGCATATAGTAAAAACTTAAAAAATCTTCTTTTAAAGAACTCAAAGAGCTATGGTTAAGATATTTAGCATCAAACATGTTCTAATAGGTGTCTACCAAGTTTGTTCAAATAAAAGCCCTGGGGTCAAAATTGGCCCCGCCCCGGGGGTCATTGATTTTCCTTATATGTGTATAGCAAAAACTTAAAAAAATCTTTTTTGAAAAAACCCAAATAGCTAGAGTTAAGATATTAAGCATGAAACATCTTTTAGTGAGTGTCTACAAAGTTTGTTCAAATAAAAGACCTGGGGTCAAAATTGGCCCCGCCCTGGGGTCATTGATTTTCCTTATTTGTGTATAGCAAAAACTTAAAATCTTCTTTGAAAAAACCCAAATAGCTAGAGTTTAGATATTAAGCATGAGACATATTCTAGTAAGTGTCTACAAAGTTTGTTCAAATAAAAACCCTGGGGTCATAACTGGCCCGGCCCAGGGGTGTCATTGTTTTTAAACTATATGTGTATAGTAAAAACTTAAAAAAATCTTCTTTTAATAGCCCAATGAGCTAGAGCTTAGATGTCAAGCATGAAACATCTTCTTATGGGTGTCTACCAAGTTTGTGCAAATAAAAGCCTTTGGTTAAATTGGCCCTGCAACGTTTGGGGGGGGGGGTTTGGGGGGCCTATATACAGGTGAGCGACCTCAGGGCCATCATGGCCCTCTTGTTTATATAAACCTTTTTTACATCTTTTGTGACCATTTTTCCATCGTAATGTTAAATGTTTTAAAGTAATATCATATTGTTAAAACTGAAATGACTTATGCAGTTTAGCCAGTTTGGAGGATGCTTCACAAAGGAGGTATAATGAAAGTTGCACTTTACCCACACATTTGTCAAACAATAGTAGATAAATTAGGAAAAATAGTCCCTGAAATTATTCCTGCACAATGAAAAAAATAAAATGACGAAAACCGATGATTTTTAATGTATTTCTAGAAATACGTACATATATATAGATGACGACCTGAACTGGATAGAAAATGAAAATATAGCACCTTATGTCATATGTAAAAAATAACTACCTATATAATACAGTGCCGTTCATAAATATCTTTACATCTGTTGGTAAAAATGATTGCTTTTTGTTGGTTGATATACAAAGTATAATCCATTCTAGATAATTTTATTTATTGCATTAGTCCATAACTTCAGCAGTTGTAAGAGGAAATAAAAAAAAAAAAAAACCTTTTAAATAACATTAATTTATTCACATTTACAAATTTCTAAGGAAATTGGAAATGGTAAAAAATTATGCCCATAGGTAAGTTCTTAATGTAACCACCCTTGGCATGAATAAAAAGTTATTCTCTCTAGCATGGAGTTGAAGAGCCTCTGACATTTTTTAACACTTATTGTTTTCCAAATACGGTATCATGGAAGTTCCTCTATATTTAAGTTCATTGTGTGCTTTCTTTAAAAGATAACTTAAAAGATTTATTAATTTATAAAAAACACGAAAAATAGACGGATTTTACTGCAATAATTTATGTATTGAGAAACAAAATAGATTTGCCTAGAAATGTTTTGGTAACTTTTTCTGTGAAAAAGAATTAAAAAGGTTATTTCATGAAATATTCTTAGTTATACAAAAAAGTTCATACATATTACCAAAGTGTAAAGGTATAAATGGATGGCACTGGGTTTATAAATATTTTATATTCATTATAACATACAAATTATAATTATGTATAATTTCAAATGTATATATATACACAATGTGTATACAGCAAAGTCCTTATGCTGCCATATATTTTACCCAAGTGAGCGCTTTTTAGCCAGCGGCGCGTTTTCAACCTTTCCTTCCTAATATTCAATCAACCTCTCCCATTATTTAAAATTAGAAAAGTAATTAACAAAAAATAACAAGAGTTTCAGCCTATTAAGTGTTTGCTACACTATTTCAAAGTTTTAAATTATATTCGTTGTCAATGTTTACTCATAGTATACAGAATCTTTCTTTTGTTGTAATTGTTTACAACCTTGCTAATTAAGTCCTGGTCTGCTGCCAGTAAACATTTTCCACCCATGCAACCAGTGGCAGACCAGTGCCTGTGCTATAGGCTGCTTACTTCATTAAATTTAGTCATTGAAAAAAAATCCTTACTTTATTGACAGACAGTTTTTGGACAGTTTCAAATATCAAAGCAGGACAAGTTCATTTTACACATTTAGCAGGTAAGTCTATTTTATACATTTAGTAGGCTAATGGTTGAATATAAGTACATTTGTACTAAGATTTATTATTTTGAACGTTTCAGATACCAGCACGAGGTTGACAGGATCAAGGAGCACGTGCGACAGAAGAATCTCGAGAGGAGAGGTCATGCTGCTCAGATAGGTATGCTTGACTTGTAAAAATAATCTTAAAGATATACTATGCTCGTCCTTGAGTAAAATATTTTAATCACAGAAAGTTATTGAAATCTATGGAGTTCATACCGAAAATGTCTAATTTGAATAAAAGAATGAATAATGTATAGGGAGCTGTATTAAGTAAAGTTAGTCTTTTCTTAAAAAAACCCCAAAAAACTGCCAGTTTTTTTTTTTTAATGAACTATACATTTTTATATTGTGACAAACCTATCGATGGTTTTTAGGATTTTAAACATAATCTACTTTGTGTGGTAAGTTAAAACAATGTCTATTTTATATTCTACAAAGAGACTTTGTAGCAATTATCATTATTTTCTAATATCAAATTTTTGAGCATAGTACATCTTAATATTAGGCCTAGTGCTTTTGATAAAGAAGGTTTTTTTCCTTCAAACAAACCATGTTCCTTACATTGATGAAATAAAACATTATATACAATATTTGTGTAAAACATATACATTTGTTTTTTCAGCAAAAGAAAAAAAAAAAGAAAAAAAAAAAAAAAAAAAAAAAACCCCCCCCCCCATTTTTCGCCCTGGAAAGGACGTCAATCCTGGCCAAACTGGTTGCAGGACCCCTCAGTCAGTTAGGCAATCCGAGGAGGCGGTGGTGGTGCCGTGGTAAACGGACCCGTTTACCAGGAACGAACCCCAAAAGCTTAAAATGGTTATTTACACACAACTGTTTTTATTATTTACTTGTTAGGGATACTAGACATTGTGATACTGTATAGATCTTTTTGTCAAATTTCAAGTTCTCATAGTGGAAGAACACACATGAGTGCCATTACTAATGAGGAACATATTAACAGACAAACATTGATGGCCTCCTGAAGTTACAGAATTCAGTGGACTCAGTAGCTGAATGGTTAAAGTTGCTAACTTTGAATTATTTGCCCCTCACTACTATGAGTTTGTTTCCTGCTAGAGATTTTGAATTCTTTGGGGTGAGGAAACTATCCAGATAGTGGTTTTACTCTGGTGACTGCTCGTGTCCTGTTAAGTCTATAGACCATTAGTCAATCAGAATTCAAAGGGATCACCATAATTGATGCAAATATAAATAGCAGAAATTATCCATCTATGAACATGCAGGTTTTTTATACAAAAAAATAGCACTTAAATTGTATTACATAATTAGCTTATTATCATCATTCTTGATATCTTCAAAGCTTATAATTGAGCCGTGTCATGACAAAACCAACATTATGGGTTGCGACCAGCATGGATCCAGACCAGCCTGTGCATCCACGCAGTCTGATCAGGATCCATGCTGTTCGCTTACAGCTCTATAACAAGTAGAGAAACTGATAGCGGGCTGGTCTGGATCCATGCTGGTCGCAAACCCATTATGTTGGTTTTGTCGTGATGCGGCTCATATGAAGAGTAAAGAATTGGAATTTACATATTAGTAGAGGCAGACTTGAAGTATTTTATATTCATATGAGCTAAAATAGTTTAAAAAAATTTTTTTTGGTTTGTTTTCAGAGTGGAGATTTTGTTCCAAGTGTTTTTCTCTTGACATTTTATACCACCTCACAAAACCACAAGTTGGCTGAAATTAAATTGTGGACATTTATTTATTCAATGACAGAGACTTGATTACATATACTTGGATCAGCAAAATAATTACTGTGTATTCATGTAAATTATTATTGAAATAATATCGTCGGGAAATAACTATAGACAAATGAATTTCTCGTTGATGTAAAAATTTGCCCTTTTAAGTAATAATTTTCGTAAATCGTTTAAGAAAAAAAAATCTTTGTTTTCTATTTAGATATTTATGGGAAATAATAAAATTGGACTTTATAAAAATATACGTGAGGGGCATTGCAAAAAGATATTCACCATAATTCAAATGGTAAAAATATGACAAAAAAAATGTTCATGAGACTTATATATACATGTATATTACTACATGTAATCATTTTCAGTTTTTTAGCGAAAATTTAAATTCATGAAAAAAAATTTTTAATTTAAAGTTGCATGTAAATTTTTTCGAGTTTTTGGGGGGGCAAATAAAAAATTTCCCCGACTCAATTTTTTTCAAGTTTTTGTAAATTATCTTTTGTATTTTCTCTGATTCCAAAGCGAAAATTTTTAGTTTCCCGGGCGATATTTAAAAAATTTTTTTTCGTGCTTTGTTTTCAGCTTATTTTTAGATGTTTAATCCAAAAAATCAATTATTCATGAAATTTTTTAAATTAATTTATATTTTTTATACTGTCAAAAAAACCATCGTTCTTAGATTTTACCATTTTTTTTAATTTTTTTGTTTTCCCAATGTAAATGAAAATTTTTTTTGAAAAATTTTAAAAAGGGGGCTTGAAAAATTAAGTGAAAGGGATTGAGGGAAATTTTTTTCGGGATGATAGAAAAATTAGATTAACTGTATATATTGTATTTATATTTGATTTTGCAAATAATGAAATTAATAATAAAGATAATAACAAAAATGTGATTGGTATACAAAAAGAACAAAGAGTGAAGAATATTCTTTTTGTGAAAATGGAATGAAGAAAAAGATTAGTGGGGAAAAAAAGAATATAAGGTGATTGGGAAAAAATATATAAAGATTGCAATAATTACAGTTGGTAGATGAATTATACCACATAGGTTGTGATTGGAATATATTTTACTAAAGCTGTAGGTCTGTATATTTTGGGAAAGAGTTGTTTCGCTCGAAAAGGAAACAAGAGCTTATTAAATCGATGCTTTAGCTGGAACAGAGAATTTAAATAAAAATTGAACAAAATTGATCTGTAAAATTTGCATATTGTAAATGCACAGTTTTAGGAAGGTATACAGAACCGGGAAATTAAGGAATAAAAGATTAAAGGAAATATTTTGACAGACACTGCTTTCCATGTGGTTGTGTGCTTTTCATGTGAAGGAATATAAAATTAAGTTCAAAGGAAAATAGTCTGCCCATTAATAATAAGGAAAGATAGTAGTTCCGGCCAAAAGAGGAGAATATGAATTGAGCATTATAGTGGGCAAATGATAAAAAAAGTAGTCCGGCCATTAAAGAGGGCATTGTGGTGGTGATGGTGTTAGGATTATAGGATTTGTAATGTTTGTAGGAAATATTTAAATGAAATTATGTTCAAATTTATGTTCTATCATTTGTATATTATATAGAAGTTTACATAATAGGGGATGGTTTACATTAGAATATATAGTATTTCTTTAAAAATTGGCTGAATTGCGCAACACAATTTCTTCCACTAGACACAAAAATGGAAATGTTTTAAAAAAAATGCCATTCCAATAAAAACAATTTAGTTTTAGAATGGATTTTTTTCTATGTAGTATTTTAGGAACATTTCAAGTAATCGGAAGCCAATTCACATAGCCAATTTTTCAATAATCATGTAGATTTATTTATTTTATGTTATTAACTTCCACATTATACTGTGCAATATTCCTACACCATGTTTTTTGTTTGTTTCTATATCTGATATCCCAAGTATTTTATAACATTGAGTGCGTGTGTGAAGTTATAACAAATTGTATATACATGTAGAAATATTCATAATTGAGATAGATAAACATGACATAGTTGTGCTAAATTTAAAGAAAAAAATGCAAACATTGGAATAATAATTCCAAAGGGAATGAAAAGCATTCTTGTTTTAGAGAACTACTTTTTGTGTGGTAGAGTATCTTCCAGTGTTACAAAAGGAGTAAAAAGGTTTTAGGTGACGATAGTGTTTTCTGTGTTAGAAATGGTTTTTGTAAGAATTTAGAAACTTGGCTTGTAAGAATGTATTTTTAATGTTATAGTATGGTCATATACACTGTGATATGACCAGATATTGTGCATGAAATGAAGGTTTAGATTTTCGGTGTAAGAATTTTTATCTGAAAGGTGAAGGAACTTGTTTTTCTTCACCTGAAATATTTTGAAAATTGTCATTCTCCCTTGAAAGTGCTTTCCGGATAGAATCATTAACATCATTAACCATGTCAAAAATCATTATATTGTGTATACAAAACAGATAAAATCTGTTTTTAGGGATGGAATTTCCCTTAGAGATGGATATTTCCATTACATATACAGATGGATTTTTCCATTACAGATGGATATTTCTGTTACATATACAGATGGTTATTTCCATTACAGATTGACATATCTGTACTTGAAAGTTTGTTATGTGTGCCTACCAATCATAATTTTAGTGACAGATATTATAGTACCGTATGTGGTGAGAATTTTGTAGAGAATTTTGTAGGGGAAAGCACTTACTGATCAAGGGATAGAGTGGGAATGCGACACTATTTTGAAAGATATTGTAGATTGTGCATTTTAAAGATAGCGTATGAAGTTCCTGCTTTTGTCATCTGCTGTAGCAGAAGACATTGGTGTTGTCTGCTGTAGCAGAAGACATTGGTGTCGTCTTCTGAAGCAGAAGACATTGGTGGCGTCTGCTGAAGCAGAAGACATTGGTGGCGTCTGCTGAAGCAGAAGATGTTGATGTCGTCTGGTGTAACAGAAGACATTGTCATCTGCCACTGTAGAAGACATACGTATTGTTAGCTTTAGCAGAAAACATAGGATTTGATCTGCAACTGTGAAAGACATAAGTGTCATTTGAATTAGCAGAAGACTTTTACATGTTTATGAATGTTTAAATTAAACATTAATATAGATTGATGAATCTTCATAATAGAACTGTCTTATCGTGAATGTCTGGATTTAATATTAATGATTTAAACTGTACTAACAAAAAATTTTACTTTTGTTGTCTATTAAAGTAAATAACTCGTGTAATAACTAATAGAAAATGTTTTATGAATGTCTAAATTATAATCTGATAAGATGAATTATATTGACCGTGGCTGCATTCAAAGCAGAAGACACTTGGTCAATTAAATATTAATTACCCGGTATGTCCAAATTTGAGATTGACATATTAGTGGCATTAGATAATATCTATTTATTATTTATTTATAAGTGTTTGCAGATTGTAGTAGGAAAATGCTGAAAAAAATGGATTTTAACAAAGTATATGAA